GAAGATTCAAAGCAGATACAGTTCTGCTTCATGAGATATTGGTATATGGCTTATTATTCAGTTAGGCTTAAGACTTATTATTCAGTAACTATTAAGCATTATTTGGTAATTACCCTAAAACAAATAAGTTATGCGGTCATGAGAGGGAGAAATGGAATGAGAGTTCCACCATTTTTCCAAAATGTCTGCATAATTAAATGATGTAAAAGTAATTCAGAGCATTTCATCTGAAATGCTCGATTCTAGAGAAACTAGAATCAATTTTTCGATCAGAACCAGACATCTGAAGTCTGTAATGCCTCTAGAAGCTCCCAGACAGAAATTTCTAACATTAAATGGTTATGACTGCAGTGCCTGATGCCTGGGACATTGTTTTATAATATTTTTAGATAAACTTTTAACCTAAAATGTAGTTTGAAAAAATAAATTCATAATGGTTAGGCACATGCAGAGTGTTCTAAGTTGATTTCATTACTTAACACCGTTTTACCTTTTTTAAGATTACATATTGTCACTGTCCAAAGAAAATCAAGTATCTCCAAAATAGCAACTTTACAGAAGAAGGCAAAACACTCTTACCTTTTATTGTAAGTTAATGTAAAGAGATCTTGTTCCAACTGATTTTAGAGCATTTCTGTTGGTCCAGTCAGCATGATATTTTCACACAACGTTTAGAAAACGAACTGATAAACCAAATCAACCAGTTTAAATGGGGAGGTGGGGGTGGACTTTCTAAAGCAGCATAAATGGGGAGAACGTACTGGAAGTGTAAATGGGGTCAAGCATTCTAGAACAATATGAATGGAAGAGAACATTCTAGAATAGTGTGAATGGAAGAGAGTATTCTAGAAGAATAGGAATGGGGAGCAACATTCTAGAACGGATATGAAGGTACATAAACATCACATACAGTCACACAGCCCAAGTTCGCTTCTTTTGCTGATATTGGAGATTATTAAAGATTCATGCTGAGGATGCACAGTTATTCAACTGAAGCATGATGGACAAACATGGATAAAGAGAAGTGCAGTGAAACAGTGAAGAGAACAGCCTGCACAGTTGGTAGATAAGAATTTTATGAGTGAGAGTGGAGAGTAAAAACAAGAATATTTAGTTAATAATAGCAATAATAATATCTTCATTTCTAGAGCGCTTTTCATACTGCTGGCAGCTCAAAGTGCTTTACAGACAGGTTATAATGTTAATATATAATGTTTTACAGTAATAGACGAGACAGTGACTGACAAAGTTGAAAGGAAATACTAAAGAGACAGAATTTTAATTGAATGCTAAGTTAAAGAAAGACGTTTTCAAATGTTTTGTAAATTAACACAGTTCCTTCAGAGCTCTTCCAAAAGGCATAGGTATTCATAATGCGTGGATAGGTTTTATGCAGGGTTAAGGACAGAGTTATAGAAGTTATCATAGAGGCAGAAACTCAGAAACTGGATGCAGTAGGTCCAACACAAACAGGAGAAAGTGCAGAGGTTATCTAGTACATGCAGAAAGCTCCAGCAAGGAACAAACAGACCAAGTACAGCGATGCAAAAGAGATATAGCTACAGTACCTATTAAAGATATTTCCCATTATCTTTTGTGTTTTCTACTTTTTATGCTGTCATCAAAACTATGATATAACACTCATGTAATTATGCAAAACGTGTTATAACTGTCTTATATTTTAGAGTCTTAAGAGTAGTCCCCTCTGCCTGGTGGAAGCTTTGCACACTCATGCCATTCCCTCAAGTAGCTTCATTCAAAGCCACCTGGGATTTGTTTGTTTTGATATCTATCTTTCCTGATAGGTCCCCTATATAGGTATACAGTTACAGGCTGTAGCCCATCTGTTGTCATGCATAATTCACTAGCTGCCCTCAATCCCATTCATCTCCATTCAGTTTCTGACCACAGGACCACTATTGACCAGATGTTATTTGGGTGGTGGACTGTTTTCAACACAACAGCCAGTGTCACTGCAGGACTGAGAATAGTCCACCAAACAAAAATATCCAGCCAACAGCGTCCTGTGGGTAGCCTCCTGTGACTGCTGATGAAGGACTAGAGGATGACCAACACAATCTGTGTAGCAACAGAAGAGTTGCTGTCTCTCTTTTTTTCCAAGGTGGATTAGGAAGGCATGAGTGTTTAATAGAATGGACAGTAAGTGGACACAGTATTTAAAAACTCCAGCAGCACTGCTGTGTCTGATCGCAACACACTAACACACCATCACCACATCAGTGTCACTGCAGTGCTGAGAATGATCCACCACCCAAATAATACCTGCTCTGCGGGGGTCCTGATCTTTAAAGAACAGGGTAAAAGTGGGTTAACAAAGTATGCAAAGCGACAGATGGCCTACAGTCTGTAAATGTAGAACTACAAAGTGCACTTATATGGTAAGTGGAGCTAATAAATTGAACAATGAGCGTGGATACAAAGTATACTTAATAAAGTGGTCAGTCAGTGTATGCTGACGATGATGGCAGCAGTTGCAGCTGAAAGTAGATTATATGTTTGGCTAACTGGCTAACTGGACACTTCTTTATTAGAAGAAAATGTTTCTAATGTGACTATCTAACTAGTAAGGTTTCTGGCTATATATATATGTATATATTTGTGTGTGTGATTAAAAACAAGAATAAATGCTGTATAGTAAATGAGTACAGTTTTGTGACCTAGTTTGACAAACATAACCACAAGTAATACTGCCATGGGGACAGGTTTGACCTACATAACATCACTATTTATTGTAATTTTTGATACAAAAACATTAAAACATTTTTTTTAAACATTTATCTAAAAACTGTTTCACCTACTGTTATACACAAACTGTTAGCCATCTTCTAGACCTTGATCATTGATCAGTTTTTACTATTCGTTTTTGAATGGCCAACCACTCTGGACCTAGCAGTGACACTGATATCACTGTTTTGTTGAAAATGGCTCACCACCCAAATAACATCTGGTCAATAGTGGCCCTGTGGTCAGAAACTGAACAATGATGAATGGGGTAGAGGCCAGCTGACAAATTGTGCTTCAACAGATGGCCTGCAGTCTGTAATTGTAACCCTATATAGTGGACCTGTGAGGTAGATGGACCTCATAAAGGGCAAGTGGAAGTAGAAGGTTGGGGTTTCTGATAAAGTGAAGTGTGTGTATGTTTGTGTGTGTCTGTGTGTGTGTATATCTGTGTGTTCACATTTCCACTTTGTTGTACTGGCTGATGAAATATACATGACAACAGATGGGCTACAATCTGCAATTGTACACTTAGACAGTGACTTATAATGTAGGTAGAGCTCATAATGTGGCCATTGAGTGGAAGTATAAGGTAGATGTTTTTAATAAAGTGGATACAATGTGTGTGTGTGTGTGTGTGTGTGTGTGTGTGTGTGTGTGTGTGTGTTTTTGTGTGTTATGTTCCAACTCCGCTCAACTGTAATATGTTCTGGTCAGAGGGAATCGAGCTGTTGCTGATCAGAGAGATTTGAGCTTTGAGGAGAGAGAGTGAGGTGTAGAAACACGCAGCTCATACTATACACAGCTCACTGTTGACATTTACACACAGAGATACCTACAATCTGTGCTCGTTACAGTCTCCTATTCATCAACCATTAATGCTGCATTGCGCAACAGTGTATTAAAGGAACTGAAGTAGGATGGTATAGAAGACGGTAGCATGAAATCTCAGTAATAATTGTGATAATCTGTCATACAACTTCTCTTGTCGTGAAAACAGCCAAGATATCAATCACAAACCTGTTTTTTTCAGAGCTCTGAAAGAATCTAGCAGTTAGACCAGCTCAGTGTAAGCAGTTTTAACAGGGTCTGCATATGGACCCATACTTCAGTTCAATAACTAAACTTACATCATGGACCATGGATTGTATTTTTAATAGGTGGGGCCAGTCATCAGTAACCCCCTCCCCACACCCACACACCACCACTAAATGAATTTGGTCATTATTTCACATAATTTTATTCTTCTGTTTCATAGCAGTCATTCACTGTAGCCTACACTGTAGTCATTAAGATGACACGGTGCATTTAATCTGCCCCCTCAAGCCTATGATATTTTGGCACTTAAAGCAGCCTGATTTGTTACATTCAAATCAGCACAGTCTCTTAGCAGTTAGATCCACTAGGCCTATAAGTCACATTAAGGGTCTCATGCAGCAGAATGGTTAGTATTGTAAATTCATACCAAGAACATATGTGCAGAATGGATCTGGATTTTATACAGTAATGTTCTTTGTGTTCTTTGGCCTACGCAGTCAGACCATGGTCTGGGTGCCCCCCACCCCAAAAGTTCAGGGGGGGGGGGCTGAGATTGAGGTACCTGTGGGAGAGAAAGTTAATTGTAAGCAATTGAGAACATACCGGTAATATGAATGACCTAATGACATATCAGCATGTATTTTGTCGATAGTGATGTCTGCATTAAACCCACTTGCTCTTAGCAATGATTTGGTGCAGTCTGATTAGGGGCGGGGCTATGAGTTTGAATGGCTGACATGAGGCCTGTTTGTGGAGTTAAAAGTCTTAATTGTCCTAGTCATCCTGTACTGAAGTTGAGTCTGGAAAACTTCTTTTATTGGACTGATGATGGTGGACTAGAACAGGTCAACTAAAGTCCATATGTCTAAAAACTGCTTTTAATTTATTATACTTTTTGCACAGTTTTTTTTATTTATTTATTTATTTATTTTGTGTGTGAACACTAATAAATATGGACATTTTGTTGGAACCTACCTCGAAGTATTGAGCAGTCCTTACGCAGCGAATCCAGGTTCCCACACCTAGAACTCGTGAACCATTCCACAAGTTACTGAACAATTCTTCATAGCTACTGAATAATTCAATATAGTTACTGAACAATTCATAATAGTTACTGAATAATTCATAGATGTTACTAATTAAAAAGTAGTAAGATTGCTAACTGAATAATAGGCCTGTGTTCAAGATGTTAATCTTTCCATTCACATTTCTTCTTGCAGAAAACCGGCTGATCCTGGACGCGTTTGCGCAGCAGTGCAGTCGTGTTTTGAGCCTGCTGAACGGTAATGGAAGACTTTTGGCTCCCCCGCCAGCCCTCAGCCCACCATCCTCCTCTATTTCCACTGTCATCAAGCAGGAGGTTGGCTGCCAGTCTGAGAGTGAGCCGCTGGAGTCCAAGCCCAGGCCAGAAGATCTGGACGTGTCAGTGGCCCAAGAATCGTCCCAGAGAGGTGGGGAGCAGTTTAACCAGCATCAGACCTCCTCCCTCCTGCAGGTCTTCACAGAGTCCCTGCAGAACTACCTGCTGGCTGGAGCTCAGGCAACACAGGTAATAGTGGACAGTATTACCAACAATATAACATGACTTTACTTGAAATGTTTTCATTATACAAGATAGGTATCATGATATTTCGTTGGAATAAACCAGCAGTACAGTACTGCTACATAGGCTATAAAAGCTATGAGTACAGTGTTTTTTTTTATTCAGTACTTGACGTATTTGCAAAAATTAAACCAAAAAAAATTAAGAAAGTACATGAACAATTGGTTGTATAAATTAAGATAATGGTATAATGGGCAGGTGTCAAATCAGCTACAAGTTACTTTGCAGTTTATGCAGTTGCTATGCTGGTGGTTGTTGTTTACAAGATCTCTATAATTGTCTTTTTGGTTTTACTGATTTGTTTTTGTAATGTTACATACAGTTTAGTGTTTAAGTACAGAGTAAAAGCGCACAGTGACATAATTTATTACATTTTACAATAACATACTGTCATCTTACCCTTACAGGGAGAGTCCCGCCTCCAGCCTGACCGCCAGCCTTCTGCCTCTGGGTCACCCCCACACAACCTGGGCGGCTGGAGCTCGCCAGCACCCTCAGAATCATACGGACACCCTTCCTCCACGTTGCCCGAGGATGATGAGGAAGAGGAAGGTTGCTGTCCACGCTGCATGGAGCTGGAGCAGGAGGTCCTGAGCCTGCAACAAGAAAACGAGGAGCTCCGGCACAAACTGGAGAGTTTCCCAGGTACATCAGTGCCCTAAAACTTCAAGCTCTATTAGGAATGTAGGAATGGACCAATGAGTTGTGATACATTGATCTAAAGGTGGCAGTTCAACTGAATCAATTTTGGAATAATCTAGTATAAAATATTCAATAGTATGTGCACTCTTTTTTGTATTATATTATATTATATTATATTATATTATGCTACTGTGCATATAGTTCCTCTAGTCACATTTCTGTAATGTGTCTTTTTATTGAGGCACTTCTTGGGTCAGTTCTGACTGCTGTTTGCTTATTTGAGCTGTGTCCTGTCATTAGTTGGGAAGTATCTATTTTGCACTTAAACATTAACTGAAATTTCATGATTGTGAGAAAGCCTAATGTCAAGCTGAAGGTTTTATTGACATTATATTGTAATCCATCAGCATGATCTGTATTCATAAATGCATTCAGCAAATACCACAACTAAAATAAATATGTGCAAATAAAATAAAATGAATAATATAATAGATTGAAATAAAATCAGATAGAATCTTTGTGACATTCGAGATTTCATGATGTGCTAAATCATTTCCTATTGATATGTGTTCGCATCAAATTGTGAGGTCAAATTTACACCCTTAGTCTCTATTCGCTTCAGAGCCTAGCAGTCGTATTTTAGTCCTGCTCATGTGTCATAATTTGGAAATAAGTAATAAACTCTCGCTCTGATTTATAAATCAGGGGTTGCAACGCAAGCCCTGCATTCTTAATAACAGGATTGCTAGAAGTCATTTCTTTTCAGTGCAAGTTGTTTCTTCTGTTGCAGTAGGATGTTAATGAATGCGTAAATTGTAATCACAGCTGGATTCTGATGGTCATGGATGTTTGTGTGTGTCTGCAGCACCATGTCAGACAGTGTTGGACTACTTTAAGACGGTCCTGCAGCACTACAACCAGTTCGCACCACCTCCCGTTCAAGAGGAGCAGCTTACGGAGGTTAGCGATCCAGACACTGGGCCAGATGTACGTAAGTGAGAAGACGCAGCACAAAATGTCCTTTGAAGGGGCCGCACAATGCGCTCGCGATGTGTCTGAAATTAACATTTTATTTGCTGTAATCACACAAAGATAGAAGTGCATAGAACTGCCTTGTAATTGTGCTGTGTTCGTGAGATGCAGGGTTTAACTCCTTAAAATGAATGCTAAGGCTTATTGTTCTACATGGACTACAATACAGACTGGCTGAGTTATTCTTAAGTTATAGAAGTGTGTTATATTTGTGGGTCCTGACCTTTAAGGGATTAAAAGGTAAAATAGTGGCACCATCAACAAACTTGGGACAGAAGAGAAAATGCAGCCTTAATGAGAAAGACAGGGATGTTTATAAATTAAGCTCTTTCACACCAAAACATTCTAGTTGAAATAGCATTATTATTATTTTTGCAACTACTCTTTTAGCACGTCTTTGAGGTTTGTGGCTCTAGCCACTATGACTGCTGCCATTGTTAAAGGCTGATTTATGTCTGGCTCAGGCAGAGATAATTCCAAGCAAACTGGCCACCACTTGTTGCCATAACTTTAGTAAAGTGGACATATTATGAAATCAGTCATGCTGCCAATATCTCCACCCGAATGCTGTCCTCCTGGAATCTGGCGCAAATGCTTAGTACGTCGGGCCCTCAGAATTCAGAAACTTTTAAGAGCTGGCTTTCAGACACAGATTGGCAATAGTTCAAAGTGTGGGAAGTTAGCTCTGTAGGTTAGTTTTGTAGACATGGATTAGGCTAGTCCTGGACTAAACGGCAATGTCAGTAATGTAAAATTCCCATTTACTGTAGCCATAGACTTAATCTGGGTTGGATAAACTGGCTCTATGTGTCTCATCTGGCTTGTGTTTGGTAGCATTTGAAACACATAGTTGCTAACTTAGTGCATCTTTAGTCTAGTAGACTTGTGCACAGCAGAAACTAAGGTAAATATAAGTTTCTGTAGGAGCCGCTACAAAAGAAACAGTCACCAGAAACTAAAAAAGAGAAGTGAGATTGACATTCAAATTCCGGGTTATATTAGGACTGTGAAAACAGCACTTTGACTCAATGTTACATAAAATGATGCAAATGAAAGCATTACGGCACGCTACCTCCTGACTCACTGTTGTTTTTGAAGCTTTTTCATCAGAAATGTTCTGCTTGAGAAATGTGAAATTCTCTTTTATTGAGTATCAATTCTGTTTTTAGACTATGACAAATTATGTAGCAAATCTGAGACAGCATAACATTATTTAAGAGTAATATATCTGTAGATCTGTTCATGCTTATTCTCTTTGAAATCACAAGTACTTTGGAGTTGCAGATTGATGGCACAACAAATCAAGAAAATATATTGTCATTTAATATTTATTTAACCCTTATTTGGAACTGATGATAGTCTGTTAGCTGTGGTTTTTACTATTATTGACATTTCATTGTATTACAGAACATGGAATCCCCCAACAAAAATAGACTAATGTAACAGGGACTTCCTGGCCAACAGTTCTCTGAATACAATCATGGACTGATGTCCAAAAGTCCCATACTTTGGGGCAGCACCACAGGACGTGGGTTAGCGTACCCTTGTCAGGGCACTTCCAGCACCCAGGATGTTTTTTTTTAGGTTAAAATGATAGAGTCTAGAGGGCGTCCAATACATTCTGTTAATAATCATAAAATGATTTTAAGCTAGTGAGAATATCACATCACATGCTCTTTGAATTACATGTTGTGTAAATGTGATTCTGAAATCTGTTTCAGGGAACTGATAATGCTACATTTCTGTAATAGCACTGGGTAGTAAAGTGATGCTTCATGTCCCCTACCATAGCTTGAGATAATACAGGAGGGGGGTTTAACTCTAAGCTGTATTTTAAGATGATACCTGACTGATATTTTCGAGTTACTAATATAAATCTGCTCTCTCTCCAGGGCAGTAAGCAGCTGTTGGGGAACTACCCCCTATTCATCTCCAACAAACAGTGGGACGAGGCAGTGAATTCGTCGAAGAAGGACGGTCGGCGGCTGCTACGTTACCTCATCCGCTTCGTCTTCACCACAGACGAGCTGAAGTTCTCGTGCGGTTTGGGGAAAAGGAAGCGTTCCATCATGAACGATGCTGGGCCAGAGAGACGGCCTCTCAACCCCATCAAAGTCACCTGCCTGAGAGGTACATGACGTCAGCAGCAGGGCAGATAAAGCACTCTGGTGATGTGTTCAAACTGAAATCAGCTTTAACGCTGTTCAACAGCTTGGCAGAGTGCATCACAAATTATGTGTGTTCATTCAGCCACTTTGATAAATGTTTGATGTGTTGGATTACTCTCTGGATTAAAGGAAGAGTTTTTTTCTTTCCCTAAATGTAGTTGATCACCCAAGATGCGTTAGTGTCAGAAGTTTGCTTCTTTAGTTTTGCCCTAGAGCTACAAGGCTAGTGTAGCTTGTAGCTAACAAGCAATGTTTTCCCAGTTAGCATCATGCAAACTGTATGCCTAAATCATCAGACACTTGCATCTAACTGAACTGTAAAGTAATCTCTGACTTGTATTACTCCAAAGTCAGAGATATATCTATAAAGAAAATGGCTGCTTCTGCTGTTTTTAGCCATGAGATGTTCTGTTGTCCTTTTTTATAGATAACAGTAGTCAGATACAATGTCAGAAACCACATAAACACATCTATTTGAGATTAACTCAACATAGCTTTAGGCTAGTATGTGATGTTTTAGGCATACAGTTTGCACAGTGCTAACTTGTTAGCAATATTAGCCTCATAGCTCCAGTGCAAACTAAAGACACCAAACATCTTTGCTGTTTGACTACATTTGTGGTGAAGGCAAAATTCTGTATATTGACTTTCTGTGAAATCATTTCTTTAATTTGGCCTTTCACTTTCCACCTCTTCCCATATGCATACATAACTCACTGCCCTCTCTCCCTCTGTCCTTTCCTCATCCCCCTCTCCTTCTTTTCTTTGCTGACTCATCCTTCTCTCCTCAATCTTTCTGTAACTGACTCAGTATCAGGGCATCTGCTAAATGGATGTGTAAATGTAAATATGTCTGTCCCCAGAGTTCATCCGGATGCACTGTGCGTCAAACCCGGACTGGTGGATGCCGTCTGAGGAGCAGATAAATAAGGTGTTCAGTGATGCAGTGGGTCACGCGCGTCAGGGCCGGGCCGTTGGAACCTTCATGCCCTGCGGAGGAGGCAGTGGGAGTGGAAGCAGTAGCAGCGGCAGCAGTCTGTACATGGAGGGCTATGATGGACAGCTGTCGCAGGACGAGCTCTACCTCAAGGGTTCACAGAACGGCCTGGGGGACTAAAGCTCGCTGAGGAGGACTTCAACCAGCAGGCTGTTCTGCAGAGCACACACTGCATAGTTGGACTGTTGTAGCTACATGGCCTAAAGGTTCCATCACTGGTTCTGTCACTGATTGTTGAATCCATGATGTTACCACGGCCTGGAATGATCACAAAGCTGCATTTCTCAGTAAGCTGGATTACAGTTAATCGGCCATAAATTAAAATGACACCGTTTTCCGCTGACCCCAAATCTAGTTGATCAGTTTGGTATTTGAAGATTGAATCTTTAGTTTTGCACCGGAGCTATGATGCAAACTAAGCTAACAAGTAATGACCACCAGATTAGCATTGTGTAAATTGCATGCCTACATCATCACACTCTCAGCCTCAAACTATGTTGAGACAAACAGACTTGCATGTGTGGTTTTTGACAGGGTATCACATTCTGTTCTATCTATCTAAATCTATCTGTACAAAAGTACAGACAGAATTTAGGCTTTGAGATGCCTGCTACTGCTGCTTTTGAGCTATATGACAGGCTTTTGTCCATTGTATAGATAATACTGTGTCATACAGTACTGTGCAAAATCAGGGACTTTTCATTTATTGAATTTCCAGTCAAAACGGCCATTAAGCTATAAATTTTTCAGTGTCAGAAAAAAAGAAAAAACATATTTAACAGAAAATTACCTCAGAAAAAGCCTCAACATCTAAATATAATAGTTTTTCTGTATGTAGTGTGTCCAGTTTTTGCCTTTAGTAATTCTAGGTTTTCAAAGAAATCTGCAGGGATCTTTTTTAGTCTTAGAAGTTGCTTGTATTTTCTGCTTCTCACAAGCAGCATTTAGACTCAGAATTAAGATGAATTTAGACTCATGAGTCCATATAACTCTACCAGGTCTTGCACACTTGTTAGAGTCGCATTTTCTCCTTCTTTTAATCATTTTTTTGAAGTTCACTTTTGGAAACTTGTCTTTTTTTACTTGATTTCATTTGACTTTCCTTATGCAAATGGATTTTCTTATATCTAATATCTTCATGAATATCTTTAGATGCACAGGGGAAACAAACTTGCAAGGCAGCTAATATGTGTGTTTGGGTAGTTGTGTGTGTGACAATTGAGTAGACAAATTAAGTGCTGATAGATTTTGATATTAGGCTTAATGTTGGAGGCTGTTGTGTAAAATTCTGTTTAAAAAAGCTGGAAACCTTTTTCTGACGTTGGAAAATGAATAACTAAATTGCTGTTTTGCCTGGAAATTAAATAAACCAAAGGGTGCTCAGTCTTTTGCACAGTACTGTTTATCAGCCGCATATTTCCAGTACAATACTAAAGAATTAAGCGGACACTGGACACATCTTGACATGTCAGTTACAACAATTAAAACTGTTAACGTTACATTTTGGCTGAACCGTCTTTTCAAGTCAAAAGTGAAAACGGCCTGACAGGAATGTCTTCGACTTCATCTCCTATTGGACAGGCTGGACTTTTGCTAGAAATTATCTGGTTAACTGAGAAATCCTGCTTGGTGAAATGCCCCCTGATGAGACAAATAAGCAAGCAGACAAACAAAAATAATCATATGCTTTCCAGACACCTCCTCCCCCACACCCTGCGTCAATCTCCCACCATCAGTCCAGCAGTAGCCTTTTTTACCAATATATACTCTACAGTCTGCAGTGTTAGCTCAGTTATTCTTACTTGCTTGCTGTACTATTGTAGCATTGTACATACTGTTAAAGCCAAGAGTTTTCTCATGCAGATCATCGCTGAGGGAAGCGTGGTATTGAGAGCATGTGGTGAAATATGACAGGGAGAAATACATAAAACGTCAAATCACAACATTCATATCTCTTACTACATAAATTGGGCATAATATGATAAAATATATTTTAGTTAAGAATGTGATAGAGAAATAAATATGAATGTATTAATTGTAATGATGTTCATTGTAAATAGGGAAGCGAGCTTCCTAGTGTCAGAGTCTATGTGTGCATAAGCATAACATATTAACAAGGTGCTATTATAATGATTCATAATAGACAATGAATAACATATCAGTGAAATTATTCATAGACGGAAAGTCAAGGTGCCATCTTTTGTTCTGTTGTCAGATGTTGAATGTTGTGGTAAAATCAGTTTCATGGTCAATATTTGATGGAATCTGTCCATGTTTGTGAATATGGAAGTGAGGCTAGAATGTTGATGTGCATAGATGGCTAGGTAAGCTCTAATTTAAGCCTTAGGGGAAGATCCATAATAATGATTATGCTGGTTCTTACATGTTATACAGATATTTAATGGAGAGAAAGGAAACTGGCTCAATCTGCTGGTGAACTGCAAAGATCTGTATTCTAAACATACGATGTGGACTTATTTGGGGGTGAGTGTACAAAGGCCATTCATGCATAAGGACAATTTTGAGATGCCTTAAACAGAGACAACGTCCACCACTCAGTACTTCAAATACTGCCAATTTCTGACTGTTGCCAGTCTGCTGGGACTTTACCACTGCTGAAGCTTCTGGCTGACCTTATTGTTTTGTTTTGTTTTGTTTTTGTTTTTTAAATAGAGCTAGCCAGAATAATTGGGTACAAAATGAGCTATATCCTCGTTCTGAGGCCTTAGCCAAGAAGGACTGTCTAAGCCTGTGTTGCTGTGTTCTGTAGCCAACTTTGTTGTGGTTGTGTATATCCGTGGTAGCTTGGTTAGTTACCCTGTTATAGGAATTCTGTGGGCACTGTGAAACCATAAATTGTTGTTTGTCCTTAATGTCAATAGAATATTCCTTCATGAGTGCTGTTTTTCTTCTTGAAACAATACCTTCAATGCGAAAAGTATAAATTAATATGTATTCTAATGTGAATAATGTCGTCGTATACTTTTTAAAGGGGAGTTCCACAGATTTGTTTTTAAAATCTGTATTAAGTAAGTGGCCAGTATGTAAACAATGAATTGTCTTTCAAAGTGAAGTGCGCCATTCCAGAGAAACGTACCGAGTCTAAATTTTGTACAGCTGCGGTAGTGGGAACCAGACTTCTGAAGCATGCAGTCCTGTGAGAAGCTACATCACAGACATGTCCTGAAATGGTAACATGTATTGCCTGATGCCTGGGATATTGTTTTACAATAGTTTTGAGCTAACGTTTTGTCCTAAAACTATTTTTTCATTATTCATTTATGACGGAGAGTTACATGCTGGGCTTTATAAGGCAAAATAGTACCCTAAAATAATAATAATACATAATAAAATCTTCTTATCGCCACAATTGTAGTGAAATCCAAGTTGGCAAGTTTCTCTGTTTTACATCAAACTCTGAATGACTTGCTTACAGATTGAATTATGCAGAAATTCAGATAAAATGGAATTTCCCCAAGTGCAATGCATTACTAGGCCTTATCCAGTAGATGGCAGTAGACGACCCTTCTTGAGGCCACTGCAGCGCTTTTTAGTGCAGAATATACTGGATTTTTTTCCCCAAAGTTAATATTAATGGTTACACTAACTGCATCTTTTGATGTATCGAGCAGTTAAAAGCTGATCATATCACTTATGTGAACGCGTAGGAACGTGAAATATAAAGATCTGTAACTTACTGGAAAAGTAACGCTAATTATGCACGAAACTTTTCTGACTTTATACCTTAAATGGAACTATATAATGTGATCGTTTCTTATTATTTACATTTCTTTATACGTTACGTAATCAAGAACTCAGGAATTGCGTATGATGTAGCGTCCGACAGGAAGAGCACTTAGTCCTGAAACTAATCTTGTTCATCATGGGACGCTGTAACTGAGATAACATCCAGTGTTTGCTGCGGGCTCCGCCCCACCCAAACAGTTATTCCACCAGCGTTCCGAAAGGCAGCGTCTCCTGCGCCAGGATTGAGTAGTAAGATCCCGCGTTCTGCGCTACGATTGGCTAGCAGATCGAGCCCTCAAGCAGTTTACCAATAATAACGCAGGAGAGGCGGGACGTGTCGGAATACGGGTGGGGAAAAATCGCGCCCAGTGAGCGCCGCACTGTTATCTTGGAATCGATGCGGTCTCATCGAAGTTTCCCATGAAACCTCCATAAACAAAGGTTAAAAATATTATATATTTATTGAAATATTCAGAGTGTACCCTCATTAAACTGAACGATAAGTCTCCAGGGTAGTTTTTTGTAGGCCTCTACAGGCTTAAGTTGGCTTCCCATTGGCTAGCTTTTCCCGTTCCCCCTTAAATGCTGCAGCGGCTGCATTCAGGCGCCCCAATGTAGCTGCTGCACCATTTAAGGTGGAACGGGAAAATTCGAAGAAGAAACTGGCGAATGGGAAGCCAACTCCAGCTTCGTCCTGCGGTGAGGAGAAGGGGAGGGGACGCGCGCTGTGTTTGGATGCTGCAGGCTCAGCAGCGTCCACTTAGCGGTAAACCTGCTGTCGTTTTGCTGGTATTGTCAGGAAAAATAACCGAATCAGGGCGCGTTTCTCGGACATTTTCTGCGCTGCTTGTCGCTGAGATCATGCGGAGATTCGAGCACACGTAGCGGGGGGGAGTGCATGCGCAGCTGTCCGTGTTTTTTGGGCTTGCCTGCGGTGGCCAGAAATCTTTTTTCCCCTGTCTGGGTGGGTTAGTGCACCGTATAAGGGATGCCTCTGATCAGCCTGGACGACGACGACCCGCGGTGGGTTCCCACGCACGTGAACGTGACCGTGCTTCGCGCGCGGGGTCTGCGGACCAAGGGCAAGCAAGGCAGCCGGTATGTGTACACGGTCATCCAGGTGGGCAAGGACAAGTACACCACGGGCCTGGTGGAGAAGGCCGTCGAGCCCGAATGGAATGAGGAATGCAGTTTCGAGCTGCTGCCCGGGCTGCTGGAGGATCCGGCGGGTCCGGTGGGCGCCTACCCGCCCGGGAGCAGCGACCTGGTCCTGACCGTCATGCACCGGGTCCTCATCGGACTGGACGTGTTTCTGGGCCAGGCCGTGGTCCCACTTGACAAAGCTTTTCGGGAAGGAGTTTGTCCCAGAAACGAGTAAGTTTCAGTTAGCACTGATGAAAGAGTCAGTCCCCTCTGCGTGTGGAGGGGTTTCCTCTCACTCTCATCCTTAAATAAACAGTAAGCTCTCACTACGGCGGCCATTGTTGCTGTTTACAGTGCAGCAGTGGGCAGTGAGTGGTCAAGTTGTCAAAAGTGTTCAAGGGTGATGTGGAGTGGAGGTTATGAACTGTAATTGTGCCTTTTTATTAACATTTTTAGCCCAGGAAGAAAACAGTCTCCAATGTCTCTTCAGTTATGATTAGATTGCCTAGACATCAATGGTCAGACTTATTGTGTACGGAGCCCTGCTGGTGATATTCTGCATAAATAAAAAATAAGGCGTGGGAACGAGATACTTAAGTCGTGGCCACAACGTAGTAAGGCGTGGGAACTTAGTAAGGTGTGGGAATGAGACTGTTAAGCCTTGAACACAGCTTAATAAGGCATGATCTCGGTCCCACGCCTTAGTGAGTCGTGTAAGACTCAGGAAGGCGTGGGAACGAGATCATGCCTTATTAAGCTGTGTTCAACATTATTATTACCCATTATTTTTTATTCATATGGGATGTCACCAGCAGAGCTCCGTAATTATGATAATAGAACCCATACTGGGTTATTAGCAACAGCTGTCTATGAATATGGACAGTCAGAGAGTTGTTTTTTCATGGCCTTCGGTACATCACAGGTCATTTGGTGTGTAAATCTCAAATATTGAAGGAATGAATATATTGACAGTAGACATGTGTTGTGATATAACATCAGTTAAAAGGGGAAGGAAAGGGGGTGGCATTTTAACAAGGGGGATAGTTGCCCTTGCAGACCCCTTTCAAACAAGCCTATTGTCTTTGCAGGCTTAAAGGGAAATTCCACAGTTTTTTCAAAACCTCTGTATAGTTAAACTGTACAGATGCAAGCAAAGTCAATCAAAGTGGTTTCATTATGCTGTTGTAGAGAAACCTACTGATTCAGGGTTCTTCACAGTGGTGCTGATAGGAACCAGGGGTTAAAGTCTACACGCAAATGTAGCAATTTTATTTATGAACCATCTTCTGAGTTTTCTTATGCACTACTGCCCAAATACAGCCTGCATGTTCCTCTCTGCCATGAGTGCAATTAAAAATTACATTTTAAGCCGAGACCTTATCGCAAAACTATCGTTTAACAGTGTCTCAGACGTCAGTCAGCGTATTCATGACTATTTCATGTTTATAACACTTCTTGTGAGGGAGATTTTAGAGACATTGAACTCTTCAGACCTCTGGTTTCTTTCACCACCACTGTCAACAATTTTTAACTCAGTAAGTTTCTCTAGAATGGAGCATTTCACATCAGAGCTCTCTAAATGACTTTGTTTACACTTTAACAATTGAATTATGCAGAAATGTTGAAAAATTCTTTGGAAACCCTCTTTGAGTACCACAACAAGTAGAAGGCGCTGTCTGTGTGAGCAGCGAGTAAAACAGCTCTATTTTTGCTTGTTGGTAGTGAGGTGAGGCATTTGACGCAAGTGACTCAAATCCTCTGAGCTGGTGATTAAGGGTGAAAATATGTGTACAGCTGTGTCGGGACACTAAATGAAAGGAAAACTCTTTGGTTACTGTTAATAAACTGGGTAATAATACATCTATGAAAACATGTACTAGCTCTGTCTCCACATCCTCATGCATTAACCCTTTAAAGTGCAGACTTGGTAATCTTTAGACTTAAAGTAGTTATTGACTAATACAAATTATTTGTTAACTCTAAGGATCCAGATATGAACCTTTGCAGTTTAATAATGTTAATATGTGACATGGATGTCAGAGATAGTAAGCCAGGCTTTGGCCAATATGACAATATTTTATCATTATCATGATAAATTTTATTATTGTTATACCTAATATGCTTTTCTGTGCATATTGGGGATATCTTCAATAATTAAAGAACACTGACCAACTGCATATTTCATTAAAATGAGAACAAGATTAGTCCTGTTTTTTAGAGTTTGTGACATGTGGAAAAGATCATTGCATCCAAAGTTTTTAAATGTGACCCTGTTAGTGTAGCATGTCTCAAAATATCATGTTATGAAATACGTCTTTAAGTATTGTGATATTTTTGCCAAATCGGCCACCTCTATTTGGTTGAACAGGGCAGAGCACAGCTCAGACTGCACTGGCGGTCAGCTGTGAGTGTGGTCAATCAGCTGGCGCAGTACTGGCCTCAGCAGGGGGCAGTGCCAGTGTGTTCCAGGAGCATTACAGCATCAGGCTGTGACTAAGCAGCACACACACATCTCTCTGCAAGGAAGCGATCGTTAAATCCGGTACGTCATCAAAGTTAGTGTGTTTATGTTCTCACAGTCTGTTTGATCGATGGATGCAGATGTGAGCGGTTGTGGTTGGTCATTGTCATGCGAGTGTTGTTTTTCCCCTGTGTGGGGAAGACTGAGCTGTATTTAGGGAAAGCCTTGGAAGCTGAAGTGGACACTGAGGCCTCTGGGCCAAAGCCTTTAAAAACAAAACGAGGGAGGAAGCCAGTGAGGCGGGCTTAGCAACAATAATATTGTCATTGTCATATTTAACTGCAGATGCTTTTCTTTTTCTCTGTGTGTTTCTCCTGGAGCCTGGACTAAAATATGACGGCCACTGGGATGTGTTTGTGGAGCAGCAAGTCCAGGCCTAACATTGGCAGTGACTGGATGGGCGGTTTTGAACATGTCTGACCTCTTGTATGAGTTATGATTTATGTCATGATTTGTGCTACATCGAGCTGTGCCACGTCGCCTATTGTGAAACTGCCTGCCGTGTTTACAAGAAAAATGCAAGAATGCGTGAGGGTCGGTTCCAATACAGTTAGCTGGATCCGTCAGGGCCTGCACTGTTCCTGCCTGCCTCAGTCACGTGTAGAGGCACATGGGGACACACAGAGTCCATCAAACAGCCAGCGGAGTGAGAGTGAAGCAACCCTGAACACATCTGGCTTTAATTGTGCTCATAGCAGCACACACCCCTCTTTTTTTCTCTTTCTCTCTTTTTTCTTTCTCTTGTTTCGTAGTTTGTCTTGGCCCCCTTGCACGTGTCTATATTGTGCCCCCATGAGGTGCTATGTGTGGGAGCGGAAATGGAGGAAATAGTTTGAACGTTGCTCCTCTCTCGAACAAAGGCGCTGTGCTGGATGAAGGCTGTGTACCAGAGGGCCTCCCTCCACCCCCCACTGGCTCTTGGGCAGAAATGTGATTTATGTTTAGCTGCTTTGAAAGGCCTCATGCTTCTGCTGCTGGGGAAGCGCTACCAGTATGTCTAAGAGTAGATGGGAACATCCTTGCCACATGTATTGAGTCAGGGAGGTCACTGGCAGAGACACAAATGATATATCTGAGCAGTCTGTGGTGTTGAGCAGTGGTGCAACTGTCAGTAGTGCAGGCAGTTTAATTGCACTAGGGCCTGTAGCATTGAGGACAAAGTGATGACCAGGAACCAGAACCCCTGACATCTTTATTAGACTCATTATCTCGCTGGTTCACTGCTTATGCAATTTTACACCCATTACTTACAGGTTGCTACAATAAGTTATGAATACACTGCAGCCATTAGTCTACATTAGCGCACAAGATTGGTTGAGACATGTCAGTGGTGGATAAATGCTGGATTCAAAGTAATTTTTATATACTGGGCAATTATGTTTTTTTTTTTGCACTGGGGCCCATACACTGAAAAAGTGATTGAATTCGCTTGATTCAGATGAGTGCAGTGCTGTGCAGCGTAAGCGTATTTAGTTCAAAATGGCAGTACAAGTTATTTGCTTTACAGTTATTTCTGAGAAGATCAATTAATCCACTAGCATAAGGAAGGGGGAATATAAAAGAAAATAAAATAAATAAAAGAAAAAAGAAAAAACAGGACTGCTTACAGCTGTGCAACACCTGATAAACCACAAAAACTGTCACTAACAGATAAACAGAACCTTTGTCTTTGAGAAACAGTAGGAAATCAAGCTCCACTTTTGCTTCAGATGTGAAAAAACAGGTTTCTATCCATCCTTCCACTGCAAGAAGACAACTCAACACTATTACTAGTCCAAACTCAACATCACTGAATGTGTTTGGAATAACTTGGATCATGAGAAGCAGGAAATGCAACCAACTTCTAAGACTGAACTTTGGAGATGTGGAAAAATATCCCTGCATATTTCTTTGAAAAACCAAAAGGCTCCTGTGTAATTTTCCGTTCTGCTCTTTTTTCCTGATGCTGAAAAGTGGATAAAAGAATAAAGGGTGGTCCCATTTGCGCAGCTGTGTACATCATTTCCACATAAATTAAATAAACGTTACATCAATGCGATTCTGTCTTTTAGTTTTAGTTGGTGCACTTTATTCCAATGGAATTGATCTATGCATGTGAGTCATGTAAATTCATTGTATTATCTTTTCCAGTGTAAATCCTCATTAAGCCACTGGAGTGTACTAAAGTGTGTCTGTGTCCTCTGTCTGTGGTACAGGTGGCTGAAGCTGCGCTCCAAAGCAGGGAGAAAAGAGAAGGAGCGCGGAGAACTGCAGGTCACCGTCCAGTTCACTCGCAACAATATGACTGCCAGCATGTACGATCTGACCGTCAGGGACAAGCCTCGCTCGACCTTCGGCAAGCTGAAGGACCGCGTCACCGGCAAGAAGAGAGGAGATGTGGAGTCCTCCTCAGCCATTCTGCCTGGCCGCTACGCAGCCCTGTCCAGTTCAGCTGGTCAGTCTCTGCAGGAGAATGGCAGTGGGGGGAGCCCTGGGATGGAGGAGTGCGGAGATGAACGGCGGAGCAAGGTGAAGGATTTCTTCCTGAAGGGAAAGCTGCGGAAGAACTCAGACACGCGCTCCTGTTCATCTCTGGCCTCGGAGAGCAGCATGGCGTCCTCAGCTGGGGATCCGTTCGTTCCCATAGAGCTGTGCAGCACACCCATCTACAGCAGCAAAGTCATGGAGCCCTTCTGCGCTGATTCAGAGGGAGGAGTAAAAGGTAAGCAGTGGGAGAGTACCGCTATGGACGTTTACTGAACTGATAACAATAACCAATGATTAATGCTTGTTCTGGCCGATACCCATTCCAGTAACTGATCATTTTAACCGAAAGTCAGTGCTGGGGTGGAGCACGAAAGATAGCCTGGATTATGAGCACACTAGGGGTGTAACAATTCTGAAACCGCAACTGAAACCGCAATACAAACGTAAACAAACGTAAACGTCACAGCCACAATCCCAACCCGCTGCCACTGCATTCAGAAACATTTTTCATTTTTTATTTATTTAATTTGTTGTTAACTGACTGGTCTTAAGAGATCTTATGTATTCATTTGTGTGTGTTTACATAGCTCATTTATGTGAAGTTAATCTACCATGTTCTTAAATGTTGTTCTCATAAGTGTTCCAAATTGTTGGTGATTGAAAAAACCCAGAAATTTTTCCTTGTTCTTTCTTATTCACCACCACCCCCCATGCCCAAAAATGTAAAAAAACACAAAAACAACCAAGGTATGAATCGAACCGTGGCTCAAAAATTGACGTCTGAGCCAAACTGTCTATTTGTAGAATTGTCACTCCCCTAATAAGCAAGTGATGTTATATTGCTAAATACAAAAAAAATAAATGTGAGCACAGTGATATTGTTTTGCTACTTGTGTTAAAAAACATATAAACACAGTGATATTTTATTACTACCTGTGTAAAAAAATGTTTTTTTACACAGGCAGTAAAAAAAATCACTGTTTTTATGTTTGTTTACACAGCTAGTAATGACATATCACTGTGTGCACAAACTTTTTTTTACAGACGTAGTAATAAAGGTTTAAACATTAGTGAGCATTGTTATGTTGAAAGTTTTTTATTTTGACCTCAATTAATTCTTTTATTGTTAATATTGCACACATATGTTGCTATTAAAAAAATCAAAACGTCTGACATTATTATATTTTTAGAAAGACTTACTTTTAAATTGTTTTTTTATGCAATATTATGATAATAACGTAAACCTTGATTAATGGTTCGGTAATTATTGTGATACGAAAAAAATACACTACAGGTACATGCCCAGTTGTAAGCCCATTTCCCTCTGTCCATTCTATTACAGTATGTAAAACATTTCATTTTTGGTCACTGTCCAAGCACAAATGTGCAGCTCTCTGTCAATCTGTATAAAGTTACATGCTCGCCAAACCAGAATGTCTAAAATAGCATTTCCCAGAACTGGTCCTGCAGTAGCCCTGCTCTGCACATTTTAGTTCTAATACATTTCCTTTAACTAGGGAAGGGTTTGTTAATTAGCTTGTTTGTTGGTCCAGACATGGTAAATCAGCGAAAATGCCAAAAGACCCAGGACCGTCCTTGACCAGAGTTAAAAAAAAAAACTGCTCTAAAGTAGTGTTTCTAATCCTGCTTCTGGGGACCTACTGCTTTGCGCAGTTTTAGCTATGCCAACAGATGCTGTTTCCCTCCTGAAATTCATTCAAGCCAACCACCAACAACATTAAAAATACTATTTTTGTTGTAGAGGAAAAAAAAATTGGCCTTTGTGTGTGACAAGTAGTTTTTACCAGTATTTTACACTGTTAGTGAACGTGAAACAGAACATGCATGAAGTTTGTAGTGGACAAAATTACCCTTACAAACTCATCATTATGGTTTTCATCACATGATACAAAAATGTTATTTAAAATTTGTTAGTGTTGTTTATTGACAGAAATATTATAGTTCAAAAAACTTATTTTTTCCATTTTTATTATGTTTTTCCCTTTCAGTTTAGTTTCATTTCGTTTTATTTATTTTAGTTTTGCCTTCAATTTCTGAAACAGAAGAGAATCCATGATGTCTGTATAAATGACAGAACCACAGACTCTATGTGAGAATTATTACACAGTTCTTTACATGGCAGAGCAAGGGTGTTAGACTCCCACCCTGAGAAGCCACATCACTGCAGAGTTTAGGATTTGACCTAGAATTTTTTAAATAGAAAAGAAAGACTTTGCTTTGACTTCCACATCTAGGCTGTCTTTCATGTCCTGAAAAACTTTTTTCTAGGGATGCACAAAGTTCCATTGGCATTGGCAGTTATTTTTTTAAAAAAGGCATTGGACAGATTTTTAGATTTGACCAACGTTTCAATCTGATATTTAATAATTTATTTATTGTACTCAGAAATATCAGAATGTTAAGGGCCACTGTGCTAAAATATCTGCATTTAATTTATTTTACTGCATTTGTAACCATCTAGAAATACACATTACATTTCTCTGTAGTGCTAATCCAGGTAGATGTAATTTTATAAATATTTATGTGTCAGCATCAGTATTCGCATTATATGAAAAATACTGGATATCAATATTGGATATCATTACAAAATACTGGATATCATTACATATCGATACAATACATTTCTGTATTGTACTGTGTGGCTTTTGTTCACATTGCAGTCGTTTTCCACAGTTATCATTACACTGTTTCACTGCTAGTTTGGGATTTTTTTAAATTTTCATCAACGATGATAACTTTGTTAACAAGGTGCAAAGGTTTGCCTAATGAACACATACATTCAGCCACCGTTCCAATTTCACAGTTTACTGGCATTTGTTAGTTTGTTGTCATTTTGTCCGCACTGCTTGACCTTCAGTGTTTGTTTACCCACTGTGTTGACTTTCTCTCTGGCTTGTGGTTTCTCTGTTTGTCCATGACTCCTAAAGTGATGACCCACAAGCGTGCATACAGTGATGAGGCCAGTAAAGTCACTGCCTCGCGGCCCTGTCCGGCTGTGGAGAATCTGCAAGGCCAGAACACGCTGCTCTCTAAGTCCACCCTCTGCATCAATGGCAGCCACATCTACTCTTCTGAGCCCGCCTGTTCCAAAGGCCCTGGCGGCCTGCCAGTCAAGCGCAGCCTTCTGGAGAAATGCTCTCCACTCTCACGATCGCTGCAGAACCTCACCCGCCGCAGTGAGGACCCCCAGAAGGCCGAGGGGAGGCGCTGGTCCATCGACAAGAGCAAGAAGGAGGGTGAGAAAGAGTCTGAGGGCTCTGTGGCCCAAGATCAAGGAGCCACTACATCAGAGGGAAAACCAGTCCTAGCCACTGCCCCACTAGTGGTGGCTGCTGGTGGTACAGAGGGTACAGATAAGGGGAAGAAGCTGAGGAAGACTCTTTTCTCCAGTGGGAGGAGTGACTCTCTCCCAGCAAAGCCTGAGCAGGCTGCTGCCCCTCAGGAGAAACGTTTGCGTGGTTGGTTCGGCTCCGGCGATGCCCAGAACAAGCCAAGGTGAGTGACCATGCTTAAGGATTTAATCATTTGAACTCGGCCTATTGTTCTGTCATTAACATTAAGGCTTATGATTTGGTAATTACCATGAATTATTCAGTAGTTATTGTGAGACTGAGACTAAGACGCAGACGTGAGAGTGACGAACTGAGATCTGTGCCCACATACAGGCTTTTAGGAGTCCAGAAATAATAGATTCTATCTGAACTTGGTAGCATTTCACATAAATCGCTGTTCCCTGTAGTGTTTCTGTGTATTAGTATTTGTGTAGCATTACAACTTGATTTTAAAGGCCATAGAAATGTTATAAACCTGCTAAAGGTTTTTTGCTGCTTCAGCCGTTCAGAGTGTTTTACTCATCTTTAGCATTGCAAGCTGGTAAACTTCTCCAGTCACGTGCAGAAGAAAGGCTCCATCATATTGCATTATTTTCATACATTCTATTATACATTGCTATTGTTTTCTATATGCACTTATTTTAAAAGGTCATTCTTCATTTGGTTGTTATATGATTTATCTTAATTTAATCACGTTTGATTTTTGTAAGTTATGGTTTTATTTTGCTGTTTCTTTTGTGTAGCTGCATGTTTTCTGGAGACTGGACACATTTCTACTATTTTGTTATAGCTCACTCCTCCATTTCATGTAGACCAATCAGTGAATTTATGGAGTTTTTCAGTCGGGATTTCCACTGTGCTCTAGTCAACATTTTCTGTGAAAGCAATGGAAACGTCTCATGCATTCTGTTTTTTGCTATCTTGTAGTATTGGTTAATTAATTCACATGCTAAAACATTGCCAGAATCCAGTGAACATGTCGTGTGTGAAACATGAACCATTTATAATCTAAATCCTGTGTCTCTCTTGAGTGAAGACACGTTTATCTTATAGAGACCACTATTAATAAACCCTGTAGTGGGCTATAGCAGGGGTTATGGCCCATAGATATGACTAAGAGGACTACTTCTTCCCTCCACAGGCTGGGAGTCACTCCTAAAGTAGAAAGCAGCTCAGACCCATCCTCCCCCCTCCCTCCCTGCTTCCCCAGCTCACCACCAGGCTCTCTCCCCCTTGATTCTTCTACTGGCTATGTGTCGCCCCCTAGTGTCAGCCATCACACTAACCCATTCACCCACCCCTCACCTCCGACCACCTCCATCTCCTCCTCCAACCCTTTCCTCACACGACTGCAGAGGAACCCCTTTTTTGAGGAGCTCATAGCCGAGGAGGCTTTGAAATCTCCTACTGAAATGTCCTGCTATCCTAACTTTCCCCACGACCATAATCCAGCATTCTTGGCCAGGTCTGGCCTCTCAAGCCCTGCCAGTGATGGCACACCAAGCAGAATAGCATCCATAAAGAGAGAGAGGCCTCGGAGTGTAGCCAGGCAGAGGTCCCTCCCTGCCTTAATGCCTGGAACACAAGAGGCAGTCACTGTGAATGCTAATAACAGTAACACTAATTCAGACCGCCCTTTATCAGAGACTGGAGGGGAATTGGACGATTTTGAGGCCTTTGCCACTAGCCGTCTAAAATCACCAGTGGGGACTCCTACTAGACCACCCTCAGTCCCAATCTCATCCTCAAGCCATCATAGCCCAATGGAGCACCATGCTTTTCAACCAAATAATGGTATTGTAGTTGACCAAGCCAACCAGGGAATCCCCAGGAGTTGGGACTTGCCTCCTTTACCTCCGAGGAAGCCCACAGGAATCCCATTTCCTGTGCGACAGAGGTGCTTAGAGAGCTGGCTAGACCGAGGTCAAGAGCTAGCTGTCCAAAAAGAGGCAAGTGTGCTATTCCAGACAGACTTAGCCTCGCTACAGCATGTTAGAGAGACAAATGGCCAAGTCTCCCCTTTAAATAAAGAGTCATTTATGTTCTTCCACTGTGCTGCTCTGGAGCAGAATATTAATGCGTATCCACTGACACATACTCCTCAAATGCCAACAAATGGAAATCTCAACCTTTTAGAGGTAGGAGATGGGAGAGTTTTGGCTGAGAGAGGGCTCAGTCCGAATCTGACAGGAAGCCATGGTAGTGATCCTATTCAGATCAGCCCTGTGTTTGGCCTTCCTGAGAATGTCATAGTAAACACAAGTCAAAACTGCATGTATAGAGATGTACAGGAAACCTCCCTGTATACTGAGAATGATCACACTGTGCAGAACACGACAAATTGCCTCTCAGACTGGGACACAACTGTGAGTGAGTCACTGTGCAGTTCATTTCAGACTCTACCAAAGCCTCCTGAGTCCTCCTGTGAATTGAACTCAAAACCAAAGCCAGTTTCTAATCCACCAAATGAGAACATCACCGCCAATGGAGACGTCACTGCGCAGACACTCCCTGCTCGAGACTCCAATAATAATACGAATGATACTTCACAGTTTGCTTTCATTGACTCTGACAACTCGCTTACAGATGGCACTTTTGACAACAACAAAGGCAACAACAAAGGCAACATAACATTAACACAGCACAAGGATGCTTCAGCCTATGACCCCTCTGGAAAAGTGCTCTTAATTTGCAGGTCTTCCCCAGGAATCTCTGAAGATTTGATAGAAAAAATGACTACAGAACTCGAGATGTTTTCCCCAAAGAAGACTTCAGAGACTGATGATGTTCATAAAGATATTACATCACAACAGGCCCCTGTTGCAGCTGGTGCATCCAACAATAACCATTTGAAAGCTTTGTTTTTTGAAGGACCTTGTGACAGCTTAGAAGGACATGACTCCACCATGACCCAACCCAGAGAGCGTGTGAGTGATTTAAAAGATGTTTCTTCAGTGGTTCTTTCTAAACAGCCTACTTTGCAGTCAAATCCAAGAGCTGAATCAGAGGGCTCTGGTTACAAAGACAGCTTTGTGGCTCCACTAACTGCCTCTATCCTCAACAGCGATGACGGCAACACAACGACACAGCTCAAACCTGAGGCAGTGGAGGACAATGCAGGCTTAGATGCTGCATGCAAGGGTGTAGGCAGTCTGACTTATGATGAGCTTAAGACTGAGAACGCTGAACTCGAGGCGCAGGAAAAGAACCGTGAGGTTCCTGTTTTGGAGATCGGGAAGTCATGTTTCAATCACACAAATAGCATCAGTTTTGAGGAGTTACATGCCCAAGTAGCACCAAGAGGCTGTAGAAGTCCCTCCAAAACCAAAACTGAAGTAAGATCTGCACGCCTCAGAACGTCTACTGCAAACTCGTCCAAAGCTGACTCCAGTACATTCCCATCCACAGCTAGTGCTGACATAAAATCAGCCACAACTTTGCATGATTCTGCTTCTACATTCCTGTGTCTATCTGACCCCAACACCGTTCCTAACTCTGTTCCTGACCTTGACTCTGACTTGACCTCCCTCACGTATACCCCAACCTTGAGGCCCGGCTTGGGAAGCCCTCTGGCCGCGGCCCCCTCCACCACCTCCACAGCTCAACCCCAGGTCGCTGCACGGCACACACTTTCCCCCGAGGAGGCACAGCCAGCTAGCAGCCCCCCTCCCCCTGAGGAGAGCAGGTGAGCCCTCAGTGCCTCCAAGAGTAGGGGTGGGAGAAAAAATCAGCACATTGTAGTACTGCAATATTTTGGGTGAAAAAATAGTATTGATACACAAAGGCCAAAGTATCAATATTTAATTTTTTCAAAAAAACACATTGATGTTAATACTGTTAAAAGTAGTAATGATAGTAATAGGATAGTAATAAAAAACAATAACTTTCATGTGTGCAGTGCCTTATTCAAGCGAAGGACACTTCACATCAGCATTATGATACTGTTAAGCTGACACTACACAAAAACAAAGAAAGATGATTTTAAAAACCTAAACAAACAAAAATTAGTTCACAAAACAAAACACGTACTAGTCCACAAAATGACCCCAAAAGTGTTTTTTTCCTTTCTTTCTGGTGAGTCCAAGGCTGCTGACATTGGTGCATAGTGGATAACACCTTTGCATTGAATACAGTACAGCGGTTTAATTCCTCTTCCAGACAGGAATGCCGCTGCTATACCAATAAGTAGGGCTGGGCGATAAAACAATAACGATAAGTATCGCAATACAACTTTTCCTCGATAGAGCGATAAGACAGGTCCGATAAATTTTCGTTATAATACACCATTCTCACACTTCCTTACTTGTTTTAGCGAAAGCCCCGGTGGCGTTTTCTACTGCAAGGAAAGCGACACTACTCTGCTGTCGCCACGAGAGGGCGCACTTCCCAGTTTTTCGACTTGATTAGAGAGGGAGGGGGCCACGAGTAAAAAAGGGTCGCCAAATATACTTTAGCAACATCTGAAACGCGGAGTTATACAGTCCCTGTTTGAGTGGAGCGACCAGCGATCTGTTCTCCTGTGACCGAGTGTGAGTGACGAGGTCAGTGGTGTAACTGTACTGACCTACAGTGAACTCACCTCTTTCCATGCATCCTAACAACTTTAGCGGTGTTAAGTCACGTCTGCAGCGCCGTGTTACAGCGCCAAACCGTCATATTTGAGTGTTAGTGCATTCTCGAGCAACGAAAGTGAAAGAAAGAAGTGGGTTAATGTGAGTTACAGCCCTGATTTAAACCAAAGTAAACTGAAGAAGCTGTGAGGCATTAGGAAGCGGGAGAGCGCTAGGTTAGCTTTCCAGGCTAGCTGTTTTTAGCTGCTGGCTAACTTGAAGCAGCGCTCCGGCGCCCCGGCACAACCCAGTGAATTGATGATACGGTAGATCAAACGAGACACAAAATCACCGCTTTCAGTTTAAACATACCTAAAAGGAGGACTCTGTGACTGGTGTGAGAGATTCACACTGCAGATAATGCTTTTACACAGCAAACGTCAGATATACTGCGGTTCACCCCTTTAACTACTACGATAGCATAGAGAAACCCAGTTGTCGCTAGCTGGTGTCTGAATACTGTGATATGCTCTGACATGGACGTGGTAGGAGTGACCGCAGTGACCTCCCGAACCGAGTTGACATTGTTGAGAAACTAAAGAGTTTAGCACTGTTGTTGGCCACTTGTTTAGCATTTGTAACGGCATAGCCGAGTGCTCGTCACCAGACAGCTAAAAATAATCTGTTTTCTTTCTTAAATCATGACTATTACAAAAATTGCAGCTGTGCTTTTCCAGCTGATAAAAACAGCTCAGAAACTTTCTCCCACTGTCCCAAGACAGATTAGTGAAATGTTCCACTGTTTGGTGAGTGGTTGTCATGATCAGACCATAAATGATAGTTTAAAACAACAATTAACCACCCAGGAGCAAAATCAGTCTTCAAATGTGAAAAAAATCATGATTTGACATTTATCGCGATTTGTATCGATATCGAACGATATGAATTTTGTTTATCGTGATAACATTTTTGGCCATATCACCCAGCTCTACCAATAAGTCTTTGGGCTCAACTCATATCAGTACATTCTACCGCTATTGTAAATTTCTCTGGAAGAAAATGACATGCTAAAAGAATAGGGAGCAAGTTTAATTGTTGATTTGTTGAATTCTGTAAAGAAAGACTGAAGTAAAATAAACTTTGAAGCTTCATTAGATAAAACAGAAAATATTCTTTAGGAGGCAAAAGTAATACATCCCAATATGTATATTTATATATCTATCTATCTGTGCCTATATAATATATTACAATATTTAGGATATATTATCTTTAGAATTTGTGATACAATCGTATTATGGCTTAGGTATCATGATAACATCGCGCTGAGGGTCCTCTAGTGAGACCCACCCCTCTCCAAGACTGCATTCACACCTGTTTTCCTCCATCACCTGAGAAATGCACTTCAGTCTGGTAGCCAGGTGCAGGAGGACAGGGTCACACACATGCCTGTGTATATTGTCCTAGCCAAGAATTAGCTTTTGCTTCATCCATTTTGACCTCTCATTGGTCTGTTCTTTTCTGGTCCATCTCCTGTTACAGTGCTCTGTTCAGCTTTGCTCATGTGATACTGTTTCCTTTGCTGTTTTTCTCTTTCCTTTGCCTTTTTTCACTCTTTTGTTTTGTGCTTCTTGTGCATCTGTTTTGCTGCAGGATAGAACATTCCATGTATTACTCCTCAAAACAAAAGAGTCTAGCTTGACCTCAGAGAGTACTTTGTTGAAATATTAAATGTGCTGTTCGGTGTTAATTACAGTGATGTTTTAATGATGTGTCTGGATTGAAAACCTTGTTTAAAGTTACATTACAACCCAATTCACACATAACCATTGAAATCAGGTCGAGCCAGAGCTGCATGATAAGGACAAAACATGCATGGTCACTATATTAGTACATATCATACTGTAATATGCCCTAAAATGTATTAAGACACATTGGATAGGCTGTAATGCTGACATGGTTAATATTACAGTTCTTATAAAATCTTAGAGTTTCATATTGTATGTATTAAGTATTATAATAATCATATTATGCAGTTCTAACATCAGGCATTGTGACCAGACTCTTCATAAAACTCTCAAACAGATCTCATCAAAACAGGTTCTTTTCTATTACTGCATTTTAGTCTTGCATGTTTCTGTTTCTTGCTTAAACCTGTATTAAAACTTCGTTACTTCTGCTGACTTTAGGTGAATACTGGCACTCTGGCATTTTAAGTGCTTGATTTTGCAGTGTTCTTGCTGTTTATGCAGTCCTCACCCAGTGAAGCCCCTGACCAACACAGCAGCACAGGGAGAGAAGAAATCAGAGGGGCGCTCAGTGCTGGAGAAACTGCGCTCCTCCATCCACTCAGGACGCTCCAGTCAGCAGAGCACAGCTGAGCCAGAGAAAGCACAGGTACTGCAGGCTGCTCACTGAAAGAGCCAGAACCTCTCCCGCTGTGGGTACAACCTGACTGGCTAGTGGACAGTTGAGCAGAAGGACTGTGTATGAGGTTTAGAGAGAATGGGCATTTACCTTTAACATTGATGGCCAACATCTGAGCGCCTGGTTCTAGTTTGTAGTCCAAGTCAAAGATGACTTTGGAAAATGAATGAGCGTTCTTTCAGCATATCAGTAAATTGAATGCTGAAGTGACTCTAAGGCCCAATCCCGTTTCACCCCTTGCCCCACCACTTAGCCCTTAGCCCTCTGTTTTGTGCCTTCACATTTAGGGTTAGGGTGTCCCAGTTTTTGTTGAGATAGAGGGGTAGGGTGAAGTGTTAGGGCTACATGGCCCTCCAAACGGAGGTTTTTCAGAGGCACACTTCAAACAGAGTGTTATGAGAAAAAAAGAAAAACCGGCAAGATGGCTGCGCGAGCGACCAGAGAAACCCACAAATGTGAGGATTTTCTCTGTTAAAAATTACAATAACCATTGTATTATCTTAGTTTAATGTCATTTCAGTGTATTATGGTCGTTTTCTTCATAACAAGCATAAAAATAACGGCATGTTAATGTTTCGGTAGCTAGCTAGCTAACTTTCCCGTTCCACCTTGAATAATCCAGCAGTATTGATGCCTGAAGCGCCAGAATGTAACTGCTGCACCATTTAAGGTGGAAAATTCGAACAAGAAGCTGGTGAATAGCTGACTTCAGCTTCGTATCACCAAAGAATTAGCGGTGGGCGATAATAAGTAGTTGTCTTAGCTCTTTGAAAGCATATGATGCCCTAAATGTAACTAAAGCCCAGCAGCAAGGTTGCTGAACGTTTCCCTTCTCTGCTATCACTGAAGACGGGCCGGGTCGCCTACAGAACACTGCTAGTAGCCTGTTAATGAAGCAGTGTTTTTTCTTTGTTTTTTTTTTTGTTTTTTTTTTTTAATTTGAAGGTTGTCCTATTTCGTAGGGCAAGATTTCAACCACTACCCCTTGTAACTCCCAAGGGACTTCCAAGGGGTTAGGGTGACACTCAAAACAAGGGGTAGGGGTAAAAAAAATGAAATGGGATTGGGCCTAAGTCTTTGGTTATTGTCATTTTGCTATGCATTCCTTGATTCTGTAATTTTACAGTTATTTGAATGTAAATGAGATTATAATTAACCGTCTATTCTGATTTTCAGAGACTGATTATAAATACTGACTGTGCACTAATTAATGACTTGTTTTATTTTTGGTGCTAACATGGCTGCTGTTGTTTGGGTTCAGAGGAAGAGAAATGAGAGTTTTTCAAGCACATTTATTTATTTTCAATGGAAAAAAAAACATTTCTGAGTGGCTGCCATGTCATATCTTAGTTTGATAAGACAATATAAAGGTTTTAGAAGAACACTTTTAAAATTTCCTAATAAGATATACATACTGGACATTTCATTAAGTATTCCTACCTTGTATCTACACTCATTGTCCACTTTTTTTTTAGCTCCACTTACTATATAGGTGCACTTTGTAGTGTAGAAACAATGAAGTAGCCGGTTGGTGTGTGTATCTCCAAAATAGTAACTTTACAGGAGAAGGTAATAGTATTTACTTTTAATGTAAGTTAATGGAAAGAGATTTTATTCTAAGCCATTTTGGATCATTTCTGTTGGTCCAATCATCATGAAGGCAGCTTCTGAGCTCAAATGATGCAGAAAAGTAAAAATTGAAAAAAATGGAGATACATGTTTATCATTGGACAGCAACGGTATGTACTTATTTATACATAGGTATGCATATTTAATCTTTTTGGCTCTGCAATCAGTGTATTACTAAAGCTACGTGGTTACTTTGTTTATGCATCTTATCTTGCAGAAATGTTGATTTTTGATGCCCAGTATATAACTAGCATCATACAGTTCTCAAAAAACCTGGATGCAAGCAGTGAAATTTAACAGAGATTTTACAATACCATTCAGTTTAAAAATATTAAAAAGATTAAAAAAACATTTTTCTCCTACTTAGTGGAAACAGGCTTTCAAACAAAAAGCACTTGAGCCAAACAAAGTGTTGGTAGACTGTCAGTAATTAGTGGCTCCTTTAATAAAACTGCCCCTTAGTCAAAATCTGGGGAAATCCAAAATGGGCAGACTCTTTCCAGGCACTGAGCAAAAGGACACTGAGCAGTAGTAGAGACGGTCACCCATACTAAAAATAACATGGAAAAAATTAGGTTCACTTACGCCCTGAATAGGCTGAATAATACCAAACTCAGATATCTACTGCAACTACTTCCTTATTTTGTTCCACTTCTGAGAGGTCTGTGTGTCTCTCCCTCTGGAGCAGGTGTATATGTCCGAGGCTCGTGCTCATTACCAGACGCTGACCAACATGGAGCTGATCGCTCTGCTGCTGCAGCAGGAGATTGACGCAGAGCGACAGCGGGAGGAGTCAGAGCTGCAGGCTACGCTGCTGGAGAAGCGCGAATCCGAGCTGAAGAAGCTGAAGGTCCAGGTTCGGGATCTGGAGGACTATATCGATAAGCTGCTAGTGCGCATCATGGAGCAAACTCCCACCCTGCTGCAGGTACGCGCCCGGCCCAAGTGACACGTACGCTTCAGCGGACATGACGCATCCCTACGTATCCTCAATACAGTCACTTTACTGCCCTGTTCACCAAGACACAGCTTAACATGCATGATGCTGGTTCAGAGTCATCAGAAGCTTATTCTAGCAGCAGCTTTTCATGCCTAATGCAAGAAAAAAGAGTCCTGCACATTTATGTTGCAGCTGTAGACTGCATTGCTGTAAAGCTTTTTTTTTTATTTACACTGGGAACTGCACAGGGAGGATGCCACAAAAGTTAAGACAGTATTTTTCCTAAGGAGTGTTGCCTACATGTCAGAATGTAGAATTAAAAGTGTTTCCACAGTATAACCTTTAAAAATGTCTCAAGTCACAGATGCAAATCAAACACTGCCTACAGAGACCAATACCTTTTATTGTTATGATGCACATGTAATAAGGGGTTAACTGAATAAAATGAAAAGGCAAAGAAAAGTAACATTTTTACTTGAACGCCTACATAACATTGACATAACCATGCCACAAAAATGTCATGGCAGATATCATTGAACCTAACAGATTTTGTTTAGTAATATAGCAGTGTCGTGTTACTATAACTAGTAATTGCCATAACAACTTAGGTCACATGCTGATTTTTGCTGTGTACTCTAGTTTGCCGACATTACTTCAAACATTTTGACATCTGTCATTAGAATTAATGGTAATGGTAACAAGACACTGTTTATTGGACATAGTCTGTCATGACAGCTTGTGACAGGATATGACGTCTTTCATGACAGGTTTATGGTATGGTCATGTGAGTGTTATACAGTCATATGCAAAAGTCTGGGTGCCCCAGGTCAGATTATATGTTTTGTTCATTTTCTGAGTGAAAATAAGTGAACACATCAGAGAACACACTTCTGCACATTTTAATGCACAATTACTCTTTATTTCCTAAATATAACATTGGGAAAATAACACAAAATGTAGCCTATGCAAACATTATGTAGTTCTACAATTACAGACTGTAGTCCATCTGTTACTCTGCATACTTTGTTAGCCCCCTTTTACCCTGTTCTTCAGTGGTCAGGACCCCCATGGACCCTCACAGAGCAGGTATTATTTGGGTGGTGGATCATTCTCAGCACTGCAGTAACACTGACGTGTTGGTGGTGTATTAGTGTGTGCTGTGCTAGTCTGAGTGGATCAGACACAGCAGGGCTCCTGGAGTTTTTGAACACTGTCTCCACTCACTGTCCACTCTATTAGACACTCCTACTTTGTCAGTCCAACTTGTTGATGTAAAGTCAGAGACGATAGCTCATCTGCTGCTGCACAGTTTGTGTTGGTCATCCTCTAGTCCTTCATCAGTGGTCACAGGACGCTGTTGGCTGGATATTTTTGGTTGGTGGACCATTCTCAGTCCAGCAGTGACACTGAGGTGTTGAAAACTCCAGCAGCACTGCTGTGTCTGATCCACTCAGACCAGCGCAACACACACTAATACACCACCACCACATCAGTGTTACTGCAGTTCTAAGAATGATCCACCACCCAAATAATACCTGCTCTGTGAGGGCCCATGGGGGTCCTGACCACTGAAGAACAGGGTAAAAGGGGGCTAACAAAGTACACAGAGAAACAGATGGACTACAGTCTGTAATTGTAGAACTACAAAGTGCACCTATATAGTAAGTGGAGCTGATAAAATGGACAATGAGTGTAGAAACAAGGAGGTGGTCAGAATGTTATGCCTGATTGGTGTACATTGTGTGTTATATATATAAAAAAGCCTGATTTCTATTTATTTGCTAAGTTTAACATACCGTAAAAAAATAAATAAAACACACAATGTACACCAATCAGGCATAACATTCTGACCACCTCCTTGTTTCTACACTCATTGTCCATATATATATATATATATATATATATATATGAACAAAGATCTTTATCAATCTCTTTAGATTTCTTACAGAGTTCAGACTTTTGGTCTTCCATCTTCTATCTCTTCATATTCATTTTCAGTCCTACTTGGCCATGATTCCTAAAAGTTATTTGTGTTGCATCCTGTGCGCTAATGAACTACGACAACTGCAGTAAAACTTGTGAACACACCTCCATGTCTGATCTCTGTGCAGAAATGCTCTTGGGAAATCAACTCTAATATCTTCCTTATACACAAAATCCAAGAAAATAAGGTCTTTTTATTTTATTTCTGGTGAAAAATTCAGTTTTATGCTTCCAAGTGGTCAAGTATATGAGAAATACTCAGGTTGGTAAACAGTGTCCAATAATAAAAAAGTTCCTTGAATTCTATTATGAATCCATGTCTCACATGGGACTTGTACAGTTCTGCGTTATGCACTTTTCTGTCTGTAAATATTGCTTACTTTAACATTACTTTCAGAGTCACCTTATATTATAATATGCAGAGAGTTGATGCTTAAGCTAGTCAGCTTTGCCATAATAACCCAATCAAATGAAAGCATGCTAATCATTGCTTTTGAGCACTTGCACAAAAGAAGAGGCTCTCTGTGAATAGGCCTACATGTAAGCTATGCAATACACTGTGCTACATTGTAACTGAAGTCGCTCAATTATGTTCATCACATTGCTATATGCTTCCACAGCTGAGCAGTGCAGAAGTAGCCAGTTTTGCAAATATGCAAACAAAGTAACCAAACTTGCTTTCTTTCATTAATCAATGACAGTAGCCTGTATTCTGTATGTAAGAATGTAACGACTGCTTTTGTTCCAAGGACTTCTTCCTGTTCTTCGACACAGTATGTCACAGAAAAAATGAGTTGTTTTCATGATACATGCAGTATTAAATCTGTTAAATTGCCTTACAAAAGTATTTTAGTTCCCTTTTTTCTTTGAGCTTTGAGCAGTTAAACATAACTAAAAGATTGCTTTTGCGGATGCAATGACTGAATCAGTATTACTGAATGTTGAAGACGTTGAACAAGTTAAATTCATGGTTGACACAACCCAAAGTGTAGTGAGTGCTTGATGTTTGTGTCTGTAAGATCTGTTGGATTAAAGGGTTTGATTAAGTTGTAAATGTTGGAAATGTTCAAAGGTTTTCATCAGCCAGCCTTACTGAGATGGTCCTCTCTATCGAATGTTAGAGCTGATGCCATAGAGCACTGTGATGGGTGATTCATTTGACAATTCAAATTTTACATTTTGTTACTTCACTTGTAGATTTACTTTACAAGGCATTTGTGTTTTAACAATTATTTATTTCAAGTGGTTTTGGTTTCAAATTATTTGAAAATAAAGTTGTAAATACCTCATTTCATGTGGAGTTTTGCTTTTTGTTGTCACAGTTTCTGACTTGTAATGAGGTTGGATGTTTCTTCCTTATGAACAAAATTTCATTCATAAGCTTAAAGGTGTAGTTTGTGTGGTAACAAGCAATCTAATTGGTTTTATTCAAGTGCAATAAATGAAAATGAAGCAAAATAACAGTTCTAATGAACAAAAGCAATATTACTGATCATTCTAAACCTTACAAACTCTTCTGCCTCTTTGTAGTATGGTATAGTAAAATATATCAGCTCTGAACACATTACCCTTAAAGTTGTAGTTTAATGCAGTAAGAGCATGTCCACTTGATGGCGCTGTAGTCCAACTTCTGCCTCGCTGTATAACCTGTGACTGAAAAATTTTTTTGATTTAGTACGCTGTAGTTGTAACAGATATTTGAGTATTTCCAACTGAAATAGATCAGATTTCTGATATATCTAGGTTATAAATGTCTATACTCTATATAATTAACAGTGTGATGGTATGTGTTTACATTATATCAACATTCTATAGAACAGCAGTCTATGATAAGAAGACAGGCTTTTCATCACTGATGACATGTAATAAACAGTTATTACAAATTAGTTACATAAGTTAAATGATTTAAGTAATTAAATGTTCAAGCTATTTATTATTTTAAATATGGTAGCCAGTGAAATTAAATGAATTGGCCTACACAGCTGTCCCAGATAAGAAAATAAAATTGCTCTTAAGACCGTACAGTTTACTAAATTCCCGTCTTAAAAAAGTAAATAACTTGACTGCCTCAAACTGAACTTCTAAAATAAGTAAAGAGAAGATTGATTTACATTTTTTGAACTTATCTGATGATACGATGAAATTTTACTGCAGCCCTGTTGCTTTATCTAAAGTGAAAGCACCATTTTATTACAGTGTAATAACACAATAAGAATTTATAAGACTTTTGTAGTGCTGTATAATCCATCCATCCATCATCTAAACCATTTATCCTTCTGGGTCGCGGTGGTGCTGTATAATCGCCAAAAATAAATAAAAAAAATATAATAATAATGATAATACTTTCAGTACTATTGTTTTATAGTAATCTATAATACGAGTACCCTGTAGTAAGCTTATGGATTCTTTAGAAATCTTGTAGAAATCCCTGTATAACTATAGTGTTTTATAAGGAGTTCTTTGCATCTGCCATTCTCATTGTTTTATCATTATTACTAATATTTCTTCACAATTCATAACACAAACACCCTAAAAAATTCCAGTATTGTAATGTTCTGCTCCAAACGCCTAGCTGACAGCAGAAAGAACTACATATCCCACATTCCTGTGCGGCTCATTGCTCCACTAGTTTCGTACTCGAGTTGACTCTTCTTTAAAATTCCGCCTCATGAGCCTTTTCATTATTAACGCTACTTCGCGGCGGTTGTGATGGCTGAGTCTGCTGTTTGTCCTGCCTTTCAGCTCGGAAGACCGCGCTATGACCAGGTAACAAATCATCTGTGCCGAGTTTTATTCCCGTTATTTTTTTCCTGCGAACCGCATCTTTGTGTGTCAGCGTTGGTGTTGGTGGGCGCTGATAAATAATCTTTGTCGGTGTGCGACCACCAGCACCGTGCAGGGCTCGGACAAAAGTTCTTGCCTTCTCTCGCACATTCTGGTGAGAAATTTGGAGGAAGGGAACCCTGTTGCACTTGTTTGTCAAAGCGACAGCGCTTGATTTTCTGCTCGCTTTCACTCACAGTTGTGGGCGCATGAAGCGGCTTTAAAAAGACTTTTTTGTCACGTGCCTCAGTTGTGCTGCAGCCGTATTTCTGTATGTGTGTGTTTTTAATAGTTCCTACGGAGCCTTTAAGGGGCTGTGGTTTAAAAAAGGCTAATGGCATTGCGTTCCCTCGCAATGATTTTGCGTTCGGCCACAATGATTTTGCATTCCTTCATAATGACATTTGCATTCCCTCGCAATAATTTCGCGTTCTTTCGCAATAATTGTGCATTCCCGCCCATTGATTTTGACCTCACTTGCACATACCATGGATTTTGCCAAAGAATGCAAAATGTTTGAGAGGGAATGCAAAAATTTTGCAAGGGATCGCTAAACTATTGCAAGTTAAAAGGAATCAAATATATTTTTTTCCAATGCCACTTTATTGGCTCATATTCCAGTCAGTGCAGCCTATTGCATAAAAAAGGCTAAGTCAATGCATAACAGTTGCTGTTTATTTCCCCACATGTTCAAAGTTCAGAGTTCACTTATTTAAGTCACTCTCAAGGTTATAATTTCTCCCAGGTTTTGAACAGACCTGTGTGTAACTGCTTCCCTGCTGTATCTCGAAATCTGGGTCACATCAGTGCAAAGAATGCAGAGTAATTGCTTGTCTTGTATCCTTATCCCTCCATCTTTTCCAGCCCGGCCATGGTTGGAGCACTTTGCATCGGTCAAATGAATGACTGTCTATTTAAATCCCGCAGGCTCCATGGCAACGCCGTGGTCAGCTTTAATTAATGGGGTCTCAAATTAAAACTCAGCGCGCACCAGACCTGATCGTACATGCCCATCATTCTCTTCATGCTCTGACGTGTTGGGCTGGATGATGAATAAAGGGGTGAAACCGCTATTCTGAAATGCAGTGGCAGTTACACCCGGCCTGCCTGAAACTGAGGTCAGAGAGAAACCCAGACTTTCACTGAACACAGAGCGCAGGGCTGCAGACCTGCAGTGGGGCTTCAGCAGCCCTCAGCTGTCTGTCTGTGCTGTCTGTGCATCTCTTTGTTCTTGGGCTGCACAAGAGTAAGGTGCAATTTTCAGCTTGATTGCACCACCCTGGGTCGTTATCTATTTCCTCTCAAAGTTGAAGCATTACTATCTTTATTGGTGATATAGAGAATGGACCTGACTGACTGACACTGCAACTATTGTGGTGTAAAGAATAGCAAGAAAAAATGACTAAGGCACCTTATATTGTTTTATTATTGTATTATTATGTGAACATTACACACAAATTTGACCACAATACTTTGAGACATACAGGAGAATTAAAAAATGCTCTTAAATGTTTTAAAATATTCTTAAATTCTCCAATTTTTCAAAATTTCTACATAATTCAATCATTGAGATGCAAACAAAGGGGTTCAGTGTTTTAAATGTGAAATGGTTCGTTGTAGAGAAACAATTTGGAATTCTCTACAGTGCAGCTGAAAGGAACCAGTTTCTACAACACTAATGTTTTATTTACTATCCAGAATAACCAGTGAATCCAGTGTGTCCTCTGGGTTCTTATATATCATGTTGATAACAGTAAAATAGTGTTAAATGTACAAAAAAATGTTTTTTGGGAGACTGTTTCGCCTTAAAACGTCCTACATATACCTCTCTGCCATGAATGAATTTGAAAAAATTCATTTTAGGCCAAAGCCTTCGCTCAAAACTATCATAAATCAGAAATGTCTCAGACATCAGGCAGCATATTCATAACCATTTCATGTAATAACCTTCTGTGAGGGAGCTTTTAGAGGCATTAAATGCTTCAAATATCTGGTTCCCATCACCACCACAGTGAGTAATTTTTTGTTAAGTAAATTTCTCTGGAACAGAGCATTTCACATCAAACCAGTCTGAATGACTCTGTTTACATCTTAATGATTTAATTATGCAAAATCTTTGAAAAATTATTCGGACGTGATGTAGTTCTTTACAATAATGATAACATGTCATCATATTGCCCACCACTTACTATAGTGTATTGTTACTCTTGTATTGTTTTCTATGTTTTCAATACATTTTCAATACAGTATACACGGTTAAGAAAATTAAAAAGCAGTATTTTTTGTCTGTTTATTTCTGCAGAATGCAATAAATCAGTAAATCAGGATATTTTCCTCTTTACTGCAGGACATGCAGCAGCACAGGTTGTGTTGTAGTCAGGCAGGTATCAGGCTGCTGCCTCTTTGCTTCTGTTTTTAGCCGGATCGAGGGCGACTGAAGGATACAGCAGGATTTTTTTGTTCTTGCAGGGCTCCAGCTAGCTGCATCTCTGTGATCTGCGAGGCATATTCTCCAGAGAGCAGAAACACATGCATTATTAACAAGCGTCTTCTCCCGCAGACTTCCGCACACATACCACTGCAAAATGAAAAACAGAAGAGAAACAGCTTTGATGCAGCTGCCTGTACCTCCAAAAGAGCGTTAGTGAGGAAAGCAGTGAGCTTGGCAGATTTTTGGACCTACCAGATACTAAAAGATGAAAGGTAGCAAAATCTCCCAGCTCCAGAGACCTTGAGAGCTATTTTTATTTCTTCTGCTGATACTTCATGAGAAGAAAATGACTTAGATGCAGCCTGATTGAAGCTGGCGTTTTCTCACTGTGTGTTCTGTGCCAAATAAACCCTTGGCATGCCCGGCCATGGGGCCTCTGAAACAGTTGGCACCCGGGATGCCACTGGCATCAGTGCTCAGACGAAGCAGGAAGAGAGAGGAGGGGATGGCAGTAGCAGCAGTACCCAGGCTGAGCCTGTGACTAAGCCCACTTAGACGCTGTCGGAGAAAGGACCCAATTGTTTTTTGTTTTCTGCGTGATTTTATTTTTTGTTTATTATAATTCTTTATGTCTTTTAAAGATGGTACTATAAATTATATTAGTACTCATGTAATCGGTCAATAGCTTTGACAGTTAGTCTTTATAAATAACAAGAGTTTTTCTAAAAAGGCCCAACAAGAAAAATTGACTTTATTAAACAATGGCAAACCATGCAAAATCTTCCATGACATTTCAGAAACCTCTACTGGAAATAAATAAAGTGGGATGCCTTTAAAGGGGTTGTATCCCATAATAATTAATATTCCTTTTTTTAAACAAGAGTATTTGATGTAGTATGTAAACATTGTTAAAGATTTAAAATGTACCATGCATTCAAAAGGCTACAGAGTCTGAAAATGAAAACTAAGCTGCAACAGCCTGTTTTGAATTCACCGTTTTTGTGATGTCGCACAAACCATCATATTTACATAAATCCACATTTTCAGCCAATGGCAATTTAGCTCCACCCACTCTTGCTTAAGTTCTAAAGGGTGCTTCTAGCCAGGCTGCTTTTTGAGTGAGGCACAATACAGGACAGCCAATCAGAACAAAGATAATATTTATTTGTCCGTCTGAAAGGCATAGTAACAACAACAGCCTGTTTAATTCTAAGGTAAAAGTTCATGTAAAAATAGGTCATGTTTGTTTTTGGTACATAAAACCACACAAACATTATAGGTGGACCTTGAAAAGAAAAAAGAAATGCAAGAATAATGTAAAACATGTCCTGCATTAAAACACTATGTGTGTCCATCAGGCTCTGGTTCTTACTATAAATGATGCTTTATTATATGTAAACTACCAACTAATTCATCAATTTTAATCAGTGATTATCTAAAAATCTAGTAATCAAGTGTAACCAAGTCATCATGAATCAACTGGGAGGTGTAGGAACATCCAAAGACAGACCAGACACAGATGACATATTTAAAGTATAGTGTTAAACAGAAAGCTGAAAGTCCAATCAGGAACTGCTGCAAATCTTGCTGTTATTACAGAGATGGCTGAAGTGTCTGAACCACCACACCAGCACCAACAATGCCTCTAGACCCCTCACACTACTGTGTAGCTTTATATGCATGTTTCATGCTGTTAGTGGACTCTGAGCTTGTCCTCGGGTGGGGGTGGTGCAGAGTCAGCGGTTTCTGATTGCCTCTTTAATGGAATGTGTTTTTCCTTCCAGAGCTCCTTCCTCGGCAGGTTCAGACACTTTGTTGACATCATCGATCCCAGAACTCTTTTCATATCAGAGGTAAAAACACACACTGTCGGTACATATTGAAAGATACATTAAAATCACTGAGGCAGCTGTAACTTTATTTACCTGAATTGAATTCAGTCATTTATTCTTTCAGACCCGCTTGAAGGAATGTGTTGCGCTGCTAGACCATTTTAAACACGGAACTCTTCCTCCTGGAACAACAGACCAACAGGTGAAGCAGTAGAAACACACAGCTACACATTAAAGCAACAGTTATATACTTAAAGTCAAACTTACACGTTTTCCTTACCCTACATATAGTTGGTCAGTTGAAGACATGGTGTCCAAAATAAATATGTAACTAACAGGTGATACAAGCTTGTAGCCTGTAAGTTAGCATTGTGCAAACTGTAGGTCTAAATCATGAGACATTTTCTTAAATTGTATTTAGTTACATAATATCAAATACATATTAACCATAAAAATGGAAAAGTTTGGCTCCTACTAAGCAACAGAACGCAAGAGGGATTCACACTAACACACAACCTTGAGTTCTTCTATTGCTTTTACAATAGTTCTGCAAAAAAAAGTGAAGCAAGGAAGTCCCAAATATTATATTAAATGTGCTTTAATATGAGAAGGGTCTGGCTGCAGACCTCCAACAAAAGGCCTGTCTCTTGCAGCTCCAGCAGAAGGACCCTGTTAATTAATATTGCCAGTTCACTACACTAAAAAAGTAGCCTTTTTGTTTACATGTTGGAATCATAAAATGGTCACAGTGTCATGTTTGGCTCAGATTTTCAATGCCTGCCAGCATTTCATTTTGTTCTAGTCAGTCTGTAAAGCATTTCACAGCCAATCTTGTTTCTGGAATTGCATTCTGTTCTTTCCTATTTAATTCGTGTTTGTTTAGTTGCTCCAGTGTCACATCTGCTGACCAGAAAGCTTGCTTAGGGGCAGTATAATCCTGGTGTCCTCCTTTTTTTCAGAATCTGTTCAAAAAATAGAGCTCTGTTTTCCATCTGATTGATAAAAATGCAGCATGGAAGTGAATATCATATACACGGATGTGCTAATAGAAACAGTGCCAATCAGAATGCAGCTGACAAAATCACGATAATTGTGGCCCACTTTGTGTGCAAAAGATAGGCTGAGACTAGCTGCAGTGTAAAATGCAACGTTGCTGGTGTTCAGTGGAATGATACACTTATTGTGAAAATTTGTGTTGCTTTCACATATTATAGCAGAACTAAAATGCTTCTTAACCAATCAGATTGTACCTTCACAACTTACTGTTGTATAAAGTGTCAGAAACCACATTCGCTCTTCAGGGTGAGGAGGAAATTTTGTAATTTTGATTTTCCACCAGACAGGATAAAAGTTGGGCTCAACCTCTGCTGTATACCAGCCTGCAGAATGACTAGTCTTTGTGCCACAGTGTGGAGATGAACACCATGTTGTGTTTCTTATCAGCTGTTTTGTGTTGTCCTGAAAACCTGATTCAGTGTGTTTTTTGTCACTTTTCAGTTGTGGGAGGCTCAGAAAGTGAAGCAGGTGAGACAAAACATGTACGCTCACTGCTCAGGCTAATCGAATCTTGGTCAGCATAATGACTGAACAAGATGTATGTGTCTCACTGCAGGCTATCATTCACCCTGACACTGGACAGAAGATCTTCATGCCATTTCGTATGTCAGGTACAGATACGTTTTATTGTGATTGATTGTGGTTCAGTTCTCCAACCCTGACTTTATTCCCAGAGCAGTTTCTGAACATTTAGGGGTCCTGAGCGACATCGTACTTCAGGGCCCCCCATCCACCCCAAGCATGTTCTTTTTTATACAAGAACGTAAAAGAAAAACAACCCATTCGTTTTGATAAGAATAATGTTTTATTGAATAAACAAATTAAGTATAATAAATAAATGAAATGACTGAAGACGGGTAAAATAAAATTTATTACATTGTGTTCTTAAATAGGAATTCCAGTATTTTAAACTTTGTGCATAATTTAATCGTTGAGATTTCTTTATAGTGGGGATAATAGGAACCAGGGGCTGCGGCGTCGACAATGAAAATCTAGCTGTTTATTTACTCTCCAAAACAGCCAGTCAGGTATTCTTTAGAGATTATTTTGCCTTACAATGCTCTGCATACACCCCCCCCCACCCCCCACCCCAGCGTGAATGTATTTTGAAAAATTAAAACGATGTGTCAGACATCAGGCATCATATTCATAAGCATTTCATATAATAACTTTTTGTGTTGAAGCTTTTTGAGGCATTAAACTGTTCAGACATCTAGTTCCTAAGCACCATGAACATTTCTGAGTCATTCATTTTCTCTGGAATGGAGGATTTCACATCAAGCCACTTGTTGTTGACATCTTAATGCAGTTCTGAAATTTTGAAAAATTGAAATTTTGAAAAGTGGAATTCCCCTTTAAGTGATGAGTGGATCTTGCATCTTTCTGCTGTCTTGATTTTTAGTTATCAGTGATGTGATCATGACAGACAAAAACAATGAATGCTTGTACCGCTTATGTACAACTTACCCTGACATTTCTCCACAAAGTTTCCAAAGCTTCCAGAGTTGTTTCTCCATCTGTGTTGTAGCATTTATGCAACACTTAGCACATTTTTTCTCTTTCTTTATGAGCCTTTGATCAGGTTTCAGTGAAACAAGTGAAAACATTATATCACAGTCCACTGTAAACAGTATCTGCTGTATAATTTATTGTATCTCTTGGTCCCCCAACCAATCAGAGACATGGCTGTGATGAGAGAGGGGAATATTAATTATTCCAGACTGTGAGGAACACACTGCTAGCAGTCTGACACCTAGGATAGACATAGCTGGTCTCAACAGCACAGTATTCTGGAGGTCTTACAGTCTAATGAGCATTTGGTACGCCAGATTGCAGCCGGCTTGGTGTTAGTGGTTTAGGGGGCAGTGATTAATTTCTGGTAACTGACAGGTTCTGGTTTGAATCTTTTCAAGACAGAACATTTCTGAGCAATATTACCAAAAGCTAATGTCAGGACTGTTAGGACTGGATTACTTCTAAAGCAATAGTTCAGCAAAAATCAGCTTTACACAGTGTCTGCCTTAATACTAATCAGTCAGTCAGTGTCTGAAGTGTTGCACTGGAGCTACAGGCAGAATAAGGCGTGGAAGCTTGTACCCGCCGGTAATGTGATATTTAGGCCTGGGACAATTAGCAGTTTTGAAAAATTCATAGGTGGCACTAATTGATCAATAAGAAATTTTCAATTACAAATTCAGTATATCTAGGACTTTTTCAGTTTGTGCCAGAGGGGGTGACAAAGGCCTTTTCACACCAAGTCAGAAAAAGACCAAAATGTGCATGTTAACACAAATTTCGCCATTCACATCAGAGCTCGTGGTTAATTGTGTAGTTGTACTGGTAGGAGCTCCGCTCTGAAGCAGAGCTGGGAGCTCCACCACACATATACACAGCTCTGCTTCAGAGTCACACTGGGTAAAAGAAAAATTATAACTTCTCCACAGTTACTACTCGATGGATCTGTTTCTTCTTCTCCTTTTTCTCCTCTCCTCATCAAATAATAAATAAATAAAAAGTGCATTGGACAGCAAGTTAAATCCATAAAAATGTACTTGTGTGAAACGCACAGGGCAACTATCTGCTGTGTGTGTAAATGAAAGTAAAACTCTACTTGTTGATTTCTTGCCTGTTATTGATAATTATTGTTTCAGCCCCAGTAATAATACATACAGTCAATTGCAAAAATTTGAACACCCCCAAACAAGCTATATCTTTTGTTGATTTTCTGAGTGAAAATAGTGAAAATAAGTTCCTCAGGGAATAAACGTATATATATATATATATATATATGTATACAAGGTTATGGTTAGGTTAGTGCACAATTTTTGTTTATTATAAAATGTAAAATTTTTAAAATAAAATATAAAATGTGCTGTAACTTTTTCACAGGCTAATTCTTTTGTTTTATTTGTTTCTAGTGTGTTCTCTGGAGCGGATGTGTAACTTATTTTCACTTAGAAAATCAACAAAAAAATGTAATTTCACCGAGGGGTGCCCAAACTTTTGCATACGATTGTATTCTAGATGTCAGAATGTGTTGATTGCAGTTATAATTTAAATGCAGTAAATGCGGAGGTGATGTTTACACTGTCAGTAGTTGCTGTTTATTGATGCTGTAAGCATAACACATGTAAGCATCTGCTGAGCAGCCATGAGTATAAAAGACTCAGCAATGCATTTATCTGCAGGACAGGTTTTACTGCAGCACTTCAGATTTATGCTGATTTCTTTGGAAGGTTTGAGGTGCAAATGATCCAAAGAACACAGAGAGCCTTTTAGTAAGACATTATTTGTGTCTCTGTTATTTGTGATATTGTTGTGACAGATGATCTATTTCTTTCTTTGTAGGTTACGTCCCATTTGGAACACCGATTGTAAGTGTTGATACATTTTTGATAAAACATTGATCGATCGTCATTATTGTACATGGTTAGAAAACTTGTTAAGCCAGGTCACAATAGATTATACGTTATTCAGATGACTGTCGAATCGTTATATATTTGTTTAATCTGCTTAAACATGACACTATAAACTTAAGTAAGGCGTGTCGTTAAAACATGTTAAAGCGTACAACAGTGTGCAATTTTCATAGCTCTGACATGTAAGGACCATGATGAAAGGTTAATTATTAAAGGCCCCATATCATGGAAAACCATGTTTTATATATATATATATATATATATATATATATATATATATATATATATATATACACACACACATTTTGAGTGCATATATCATTTATTATAATATTACATATGTCTTAAAGGTACACTAACAAAACAGCCTTTTCAGTTCTAATGGGTAAAAATAGAAGTTGAAAAATGGTCATGTAAAAATGAATTATTACTGGTTTTGGTATTTAAAATCAAGCAAGCATGATAAATGGACCTCAGGAGAAAACTTAAAGCACAAGAAAAGTGTAGTATATGGGCCCTTTAAGTTACTGTTTCTGTTATTCTATTCAAATGTAATTATATAGTAACATGTCTAATTACATTATGAGTTACACAATAAATTCTGTTCACACTTGTACTTCCCTGGGAAAGTTTAGGAAACATTTTTGTTGTAAGCACATGTTGAAAGTAAATTATTAACATCATTAATGTCTACATGTCTCATTAATCTCTACATGTGTCGTGCAGGTGGTCGGCCTTCTCCTCCCAAATCAGACTCTGGCATCCACTGTGTTTTGGCAGGTAAAGACCTGTTTGCTTCTGGAGACAAATTTACCTTCTGTGTTCTATGTGGACTCTATGTGGGTTAATGTAGGTTAACTGCACCTCTGTTGTAAAGCATGTTAGTGCCCAGATCCATCTGTTCTGAGACTGTGTTCTCCTCTCTGTCCTGCAGTGGTTAAACCAGAGCCACAATGCCTGTGTGAACTACGCCAACCGCAATGCCACAAAGGTACGGTGGCTTTACTCACGTCATTCAGGTCAGTTTTTCTGTTTTAACACAGTTTTAGTGTAATTGCAGATGGACTTTCAGTGAAGCGATGCTTTGTGTCACTTCCGTTTGAGTGGGCTTTAGTTTCACTTAAAGCAGGACATCTGTTCTGCATCTGCTCCCTAACCCCAGGCCGTCAGTGCTCCGGGCGGAGAGTCAGATTGTGTGTGTTCAGGAGTGCGGAGGATAGTCTGCAGATACTCTGGAGTGTTATCCTGATGTTGCTATTTGTCTCCACAGCCCACACCAACCTCCAGGTTTATTCAGGGGTACCTGGGAGCTGTCACGAGCGCAGTCTCTATCGCGGTTCGTACTTTCAGTGTTACTGCTGAGATTTATTATGCCTTTTAAAGACTTCATGTTTGTTTGTCAGATCTTATTCAGTAAAGGATACTTAAGGGAAATTCTATCAATTTTTCTTGTTTTGTGTAATTAAATGTTTAAGATGTAAAAATAATCCAGAGTGGTGGAAGGCACCTTTCTAGAGAATGAGTCAGAATTGTTCACAGCAGTGGTGATAAGAACCAGACATCTAAAGCATGTAATGCCTCTAAAATGCTACCTGACAGAAATATAATGGTCACAAATATATTGCCTGATGCCTGACACATAAATTTGAGATAAGATTTTGACATAAAAAATATTTTTAAAGGCCATTTTTGGGTGAGAGGGCATTATAAGGCTAAACAGTGCCCTCTTTACCATTACTTTTGTTTACTATCACTACTCATCTGAGTTCTGTTGTAGGTGGGTTTGAATGTGCTCATTGAGAAATCCAGGACATTTAACCCAGCCACCAGGCTCATCATACAGAGATTCGTCCCTTTCCCTGCTGTGGGTGCGTACAGTACTGAGCTTCACTCCCAATTGTGTGATCATTCTGTTGAGCTCCCCCTGCTGACTGACTGATGCATCTAATAATGGGTAGAACAAAGGACAGCCTGATTTTTTTTCAGTTGTCTGAAAAACAAATCCTTGTATCTGCAGGACACAAAGAAGTTTAAGAGAGGAATAAACTATTTTTTTTAACTAATTTGATATTACAAATAGTGTTTCTGCTCTCAGTATATCTTGTGTAAACAATAAAAACATTCAGTAATTAGTTACAGTAATTAGTTACAGGATTGTGTCCTATCATACAGAACAGCATTGACATGTTGTGGCTGTGAATACCGCACTGATCCTCCATATCCTTTTCCTCACAGCCAGCGCTAACATCTGTAATGTGGCTCTGATGAGACACAACGAGCTCTCAGAGGGAATTGATGTGCTCGACAGCAATGGGAATGTGGTGGGCTCCTCACGAATAGCAGCCAAACATGTGAGTGAAATGCATAAGTAATACACCAGTACATACCAGAAACTCTACTACTCCAAAGTTTTATCATCAAATGTCATTTAAAAATGAAATCGTTGTTGTAGGGCTTAAACTGTCACAAATGTAATCTTACTTAAAGTATATGAATATGTAGCACAATGCATAATCTTTATTAAAGATATTAAAATTTTTAGTATCTCTTGATGATCTCCCTGAAATGTTTGCGCTAAATGAAACATTTTTATATAGACTAGATATTTATTGAAAACATCTGATATCCAAAGATGTCATGTTTGCTTTTCATGCAAGAAATCTTAAAATATCCTTCTAGAGTCAGTTTTTCACTGTATGTAACTTAAAATTAGAGCAGAATGATAAACGCTATAGTTATTTTTCTTTTCCACAGGCACTGATGGAGACAGCTTTTACACGAGTGGTCCTACCACTGCCCATCTTTGTCCTGCCTCCTATAATCATGGCCTTCCTGGAAAAGTAAGCAGTCATATCTGTCTTAGAGATTTTTGTTAATCATGTCTAAAATTGTTTAGAAAGTATAGAACAATGAACCCACAATGCCTGTGACTTTAAAGTTATGGTGTATCATCTTTTCTTGTGGTTGCTTCCAATCTTGAGATTTGCTTAATTTTCAAGAAAAAACTGACCACAAAAAGCATAAGATAAAAATGTTTCCCACTGATTTTTTAAAAATGCATTTATATTTACACTATGCACTTTGTTTTTAAAGGAATAGTTCTGCATAAAAATGAAAAAACTTACCTAATTTTACACTTACCCCAGATTTGTTAGTTGATCAGCCAAAACAAGCCAAGCCAAGTCCAGATTTTGCTTCTAGAACTGGAGCTATGAGGCTAACATTGCTAACAAACAATAGAATCAGTAGTCACCCAGCTGACCTGAATTGTTACTGTAGAAATACATCACCCAAACTTTTCTCAAACTGCATCAGGATCTTCATTAAAGTCACACAGACTTGCTGATGTAGTTTAGGGTACAGTATGACTTACTGTGAGCTATAAAAATGAACAAAACTACATGCAGCCACTTATGACAACAAGCTCTGTATTCACAAACCACCAGAGGTGTAAGAGTGCTGATCTAGAGTCAGTATCTGTGTCCGTCATAGATACAGAGGAATCTGATCTAAGATCTGTCTTGCTTTGTGAATACCAGCACTAGTGTTGTCTGAAATGGCTGCCTGTAGCTGTGACGTTTTGTTCATTTTTATAGCTCACAGTAGGTCATAATGTGTCCTAAACCACATCAACAAAATAAAGACTCGGATGCGGTTTGAGCTGGTTGAAAGCATTTTTTGGTGATGTATTTTTACACAAACAATTTGGGCAATTCAGGAGACTATTGAGTTCTAGTGTTTGTTAGCAACTTTAGCCTTGTAGCTTCAGACCAGAACTAAAGAAGTACAAAAAAAATTGGACTCCAAACATATATTTAGATGGTCCATCCAGGGTAAGTGGAAAATTGGGTAAATTTGATGTTTTGTTTAGGTCCCAAATGCAAAATCAAGTTCTGAGTTGCACCAAGCTGTGTTTGAGTACTCTGTCAACACACTCGCCAGATTCTTATGCTTGGGGAAGGGGTCCGAAGCCCTACTGCCTGTGTTTTCTAAATGTTCCGCCACATGTTGTGTACAATTACATGTTACCACCGGAGAGGTACTATAAACATATACATAAACATTTTAAAATATCTCCAATTATATCCCTGCCCTTATTCGCATTGAAGTTAAAAGGAATGTTTTGGCCTGGATTTCTTTTTGAATAAGGCCTTATACAGAGCAGTCAATCAGATCAGAGGTCGTTTACATATATTAGTCGTAAAGGCACAGTAACAAAAAACATATACAAACATCATAAGTGGACCTCAAGGAAAAAAGAAAAATGTAGGATACGGCCTTTTTAAAAGGCAGAGGAAGAAGGGGTGGGGCTGTGCAAAATTCCACCACTCACACATTTAATTATTAATAACACTATTATAACACTATTAACATTCAGTAAAACATACAGATTTTTACAGTATATGACTCACATGAAAATTTCCATAGATATGTTATTCTAGCTGGAGCATGTTCAGTGAGCATCTTGAGAGAAAAGGCTGTTTGGCTAATGTTGGTGTCTTGTCGCCCCTCCTCTTCTTGTAGACGTCCGCTGTTGCAGGCCCATCGCTGGCTCATGCTGCCTGTACACAGTCTGGTGTGTCTGGCTGTGTTTGGCTTGTCCCTCCCACTGGCCATCAGCCTCTTCCCACAGATGTCTGAGGTACTGCTGCATTCATCCAGCTCCATAAGCTCAGACAGGAAGCAATGTTTTCAAACTCTCTCCAGTAAACAGTCATGCTGCAAGATTCATTTTCCACAGCTGACCTGTCTGACATTCATTTTAGGGTGTGAGTGGGGTGTTTGCACGATGAATAATGAAGCTTTTGGCAGAGACTTGCTTGCTAATCACTTTTCTGCACTTCACAGATCCAGGCGTCTCACCTTGAGCCAGAAATCGCCATGGCAACAGATTGCAAGGTGCTGACCTATAACAAGGGACTGTAACGAAAAGAGAAACACATAGAGGCAGAGAGCGGGAGAGAGAAGGAAACAGAGAGAAAAGCAAAGGAAGCAGAAGGCAAATTATTCTCTGTCTAAGCAGCTGCCGTCAACAGATTCCGAAGGCCATGTAGCTCGGTGGATTCTGGAGAGGATTAAACTGTAGCTTTAGAGCAATACTCACATCCGATTAACTACCTTACCTTAACTCTCAAGCCATTTCTCTGTTTTTTAATTTATGAGATTAATAATCAATAATTGTGTATTTCTTATGATAGTATTAACGTAAAAAGGTAACAAGGCCTTACATTGTACAGGTTTATTACAGTATATTATATGAATGCACAACAGTAATATATAATATTATAGTTTATATAACTTGTCTAGTAGTATGCATTTTATTATATTTATTACACTTATTACACTATAGCATTAATGGATACAAATGGTCTTGTACTGATATTTTCTGAAGGCCTGGATACACTGAGGTGATGCAGTAGTATTAAAAATTCAGCAACATGTGCCGCTCATAACAGCCAGACATTGGTGCCAACAACTAATCTAGTTTTTACTGCAGTAAATTTTGATATTGAATTTTGATCTGCAAGAGTATATCAGGCTCATTCTTATAGCATTGTTTTCTCCCATGGTTGACACACACTAGTTTACGGTACTTTGCAAAAGTCTGAAACCCCCCTGCACACACCCCTATTTATTTAATTTCCAGTAAAAACAGCTATTAGGTGCAAGTTATTTGTTTTATCAGATATTTCAGGGAAGATTAGATATAAGGTAATCTAGTTGCATGAGGAAGGAGAACGTCAAAGATAATAAGTGAAAAAAAAAAAAAAATTAATTATAAGCAAGACCTGGTAGACCACCAAAACTGTTACCCTCAGATAAACAGCACTTAAAGCTTTCATCTTTGAGAGAGCTCCACTGTTGCGTCAAATCTGAAAAAATCCACAGGTGTTTCTGTCCATCCTTCCACTATGAGACATCTGAAAGGATGTATAGCTGTCAAGAAGCCCTTATTGAGAAAAGATAACAGACTAAAACAGGCAGAAAATTTGTAAACAAATCAAAGAAAGAAGCTTTTGGTGTTCTCAGACCACCCCAGAGTCTAGACCTGGCATTGAATGTGTGTGGCATTATTTTGAAAATGCAACCAACTTCTAAGACTGAACTTTGGAGGTCTGAAAAAACAGCCCTGCAGATTTTTTTGAAAAACAAAGCAAGACACCTGAAAAGAGGGAAAGTTCTGATAGATGTATAGAATGGACACACTAAAAACTGAAAAAAATATATTTGATTATTGAGGTTTCTGTATAATTTATCTGTTAAATATGTCTATTCTTGCTGATAAATGAATAACTTGTACTTAAGAGACATTTTGCCTGGAAATTAAATAAATTAGGGGTGGTCTCTGACTTTAGCACAGTACTGTATCTGTTTCATCAGATACTCAAGGGTGAACTTGTGTGAGACAGCCGTGAGATTTCGCCCAAAACCAGTGCCAAATGTTCACATTATAGCAAAATCTACTCTGTGCACCAAGGCCTTTAAAACGTGTACAGTAGGTTTCTGATTACACTAGTTATACAGTGCATACTTGATTACACAGTGCATACTTTATTATATAGTGCACAGGTTACTTGCAACTTTACCTCCTTTATATGTATGTTAATACCAATGTACAACTCAGTGTACCCATGCATTTTAAAACCTACTGTTCTTAAAGACAGAATAACATTTTAGAACTTGATATTTATCACTTGTACTGTATGTCAATGCCAGTCTGTGTCAAAAATGGCCCTTTATGAGAACTGTGAATTGAGGATGTATGAGATCTTTCTATTGTATTTTGCACTTCTTATGAAATAACATGTAATCAGATCATTTAATAACAATACAGATAAGTATATTTAAGGGACCAAGCACTTTGTCTTTTTTGTATTGCAACTGAAAGGAATTTCACAGAACAAAGACACAAATCAATGCTAGCACATTTGATCAACATATCAGTTCTGAGTATGGCTGGGGAAAAACTCAAGTATACCCACAGATATGTAGCAAGGCTTTATTATTTTTACCAAGAGATGACAGGTTCCATTTAAATAGTTCAATACAGATACAAACAGCAGTAGAAAACATGAGCAATAATCATCAAATAACAAACCAGCTTTTCTCTCCCATTACCTCCAGTTTCTCACTCAGCTATGTGTGTGTCACCACAGCCACCCACATTTCTCTGAGGGGTCAAAGATCAGGGGGAGGGGGCATTCTTTGAATTCCTACTTGTTTTACACACTCCTCCCTGGTTGATATCACCCTCTGAGTCACAGCCAGGGGGTTCAGAGCGGATGTTTTCCTCAGTAACTGCATCTACACAAACAGCATCATCTGAAAAACCTTCACACAGTGGGGAGAGAGAGCATGTAGGGTTTGCGCAGCTGTACATTCAGGAGCATGCAAGCATGCATAACCCTGCATGTTCACATAAGTATGGGTCTGAGCTCAGCACATGCTGCATGCTAGTCTTCCTTCCCATTTACTTCACATTAATTCATCATTCTTGACAGTATTTTACTTGCATATTGCTGCAAAATTCATCCTTCTGCAAAAGTTAATAACACTGCATGTCATTCAATGACATTTCCACTAATAATACTAAAACACTAGTAAAAAAACAATGAGCTTAACACACTATTTTGTGTGCAAAATGTGTTGGTGCAATCGTGCACTTGATCACATACACAAGTACAAAGTAATGTGTAAAGTACCCCGTTTAAAATACACCATGTAAACAATGTTTAAAGCTTACTTGTAATGAGGTTTCTCTTTTGGGCGTTTTGGTGTTTCCACTACACTTCATATACTTGTTCTTCACAGACATGCATGGCCAAGTAAGTGTTTAAAGCTTGCAGTGCAACATGAGAGTGAAAAAATAATAACAATACCAGAAGCTCCATGTAGATTATGTACTTTTTATGTGTCTAAAAATCTTCCCTATATTTTTTCCTAAAGGCCAGAGCAAACAGACCCAACAAACATTAACAAACGCATAGGTTTGAGTGGTGTACCATTCACTCTTAAAATAAACCTGCTTTTTAGGACCTTTATCTTTAAAAGTGTACCTGTGGTGTTTTTTGGAAGATTCTAGAATGTTCTCACCCATTCACACTGTTCTAGAATGTTCTTACTGATTCACTGTTCTACAGCGTTCACTTCCATTCACACTGATCTGATTCTAGAACACTGACACTGTTCTACAATCTTTGTACCCATTGACACTGTTCTAGAATGTTCTCTCCATTCACACTGGTCTATAATTTTCTCCCTCAAAGTGTTCTAGAACACTCACACTGTTCTACAATGTTTGTACCTATTCACACTGTTCTAGAATGTTCTCTCCATTCACACTGGTCTAGAATTTTTGTGCCATTCACTCCGCACTGCACACTGAGCTAGAAGGGTCACCTAATTCACACAGTTCTGCAGTGTTTGTTCTCATTCACACTATTCCAGAATGTTCACCCCAATTCGCACTGCTCTAAAATGTTTGCTCCTATTCATACTGCTTTAGTATGTTCTCTCTATTCACATTGTTCTACAGTGTACTCCTCCCATCAACACTGTATGTTTGCTCCCATTCGCACTGTTTTATAATGTTCTCTCCATTCGCACTGTTCTAGTATTTTTGTGCCTTTTCACATTGTTTTCGAATTTTCATCCCATTCACACTGCTTCACTTTGGTTTGTCAGTTCTTTTTCATTCTAAAACAATATATACTACGCTGTAATGTTGACGTTTGTTGGTGTTTGTTTGGTCAGAGTGCTGTGGCCTTTTCTTTTACTGCTCACCTAATCCAACCAACTACAGGAGAAATTTGGATCATCATAAGAGGGGACTAAATGAAGACAGCAGGTGTCTGTGGAGGGTGTATGTGTTGGCAAGGCAGGGGACAGTCTAGGTGAGCCTGGCCCAGGAGAAGCTCCTTCTCTCGGGACAGACAAGGTCCACTGATCTGCTGACTGTGGGAATGGTAGAGCCTCAGGAAGGACAGGATGGAGTGAGTCAACCACAGAGCCGTCACACACCACAGCGCGATCTACAGAGCAGAAAGAAAGAGGGTGAAGATATAGAGTCAGCACTTTCTTAAGTAAATAAAATGCATACTCTGTAAAATAGAATCATAATGGATTGAGAAAAACACACTAAAGTTCTGATAAAACCAGGACACACTGGATTTATTCTGTAACAAATCTAGTCTGAAATTTCACAGAACTGCTTGTAGCACAACATAGTGTAAAGTAAAGTAAAGTTTTTCATGTGATAAAAACAGTAGCCACATACAGTCTATATTAACATAAGATCAACACAGGGCTAGTTAAGTATTATGCTTCTCCTATTTTTAATACTCAAATTTTATTTGTTTTTATCTGGAAAGAATTTAACTTAATAAATAACTTGCAATTCTGTATAAACCATGTTGTTAGGTTCCTCTATGGAAGTAGAGTGTTTCAGAAGTTTGAGCAAGGTAACCCATGTTTACCTGGTAACCTTAAGTAAAGTACTTCTGTTAAAGTAGCTCAATTTTTAGAAATAAAACATCAAATCAGTAAGAAAATGATATCATGCCATATCTTAACAACTGTACAACCTGCAAACATATATAGTAATGCCATGCTATACCTGTGCACAGGTGAGCTCTGAGTAGAACAAAGAAGTTTCCACATCCAGATAGAGTGGCACAGACTGCGACTCAGCACAGCTGAAGAGACAATGAGTCATGAATGAGCAGTTCAGTGAATCAATTTTGCCTGTCACGAGTTTATGTGTAATTCTTTCTTGTGACTCAAATTCACACTGTCATTGGAATGATTTGACCAAAAAGAAACAGCACATGATAAGGCAGAATTATGGTAGGTTTAATCAGGGATCATGTCACATGAGAAAGGTATCTATTGCTTTTAAAGCCACAGACTAAAAATAAGCAGCAATAAAAAGTAAGTAACCTTCAACACGACTGTAATCTAGGCAATAGAGTATCATCGTAGTGTCATCAACATAGTTTATTTTATGGTGTTTCTGATATTATCCAATAAATCTGTTAGTACTGAGTAACTACAACATAGTACAACATGGGCCATATGGCAAAAACATAATATCACAATATTTCAAGATATGTTCACATTATATGATATGCCTCATGATATTTATTTTGTGACTACCTGGAATAGACATAAAAGGCGGCACATTTAAACAATATTAACATAACTATACAGACGTATGCAAAAGTTTGAGCGCCCTGATCAAATGGCATGTTTTGTTGATTTTCTAACCGAAAATAAATCAACACACTTATGCACATTTATTGCACAATTACTGTTCATTTACTGTTTTTAACATACTTTACATATTTTTACAATTTAACATATTGGGAAAAAAAGATAAAACGCGACCTGTGCAAAAGCTATGGCACATTTTAAAATGTTCATACGTTAAACTCAGCAAATAAACAGAAATTATGCACTAAAATGCAAACGAAAATGCCCTCTGTATGTTCCCTGTAGAGGACATGTTAACTTATTTTCACTTAGAAATCAACAAAACATGCAATTTGACCAGGGGTGTTCCAACTTTTGCATACAACTGTAAATACTATGATTTTTTTTTCAACGTTTCACATACAACACTGCACCAAATCCAATTAAAGATATTGATTATGCTTTCTTCAGTGTTTAAATTACTGACAATACCCATGATATACTCAGAAAAGTGTGTTATGATGTAATTGCTCAACCTTCCAAAGTTCCTACAGGCTTACAGCCTAAAAAACATGTTTACTTCTGAAGAAATCAATAGGTATCACTCACAAAAGCCTAACAGTACTACAAAAGACTATATATATAACCTAATCACCATTCAAACCCTTTCCCTACCAAATCAGCACCAAGATCTACAGCTAGCCAGGGTTCTCACCTGTATGGCCGGGTGTTCTGATCAGTGACAGTGTCGCACCAGGACACCAGGCCGAGGGTGAGGGTCACACTGGCTCCTCCAGAGAGGAAAAGCAAGCACAGGCTCAGCAGCAGTGTGAGGAAAGCAGAGAACAAGGTGCTACAGCACAGAGACAGACAAGAAATTATTACTGCTATAGCCAGGCAGGCCAAGAGACTGCACTGACTGTAATGAATAGCTTACAGGTGATTATTATTTTTTAATGTTAGAGTATTAGTCTAAACACAACTGTGTTTAATAGTCTATGTTAGCAAACTATGATGCAAATGTATATGCCTAAACATTAATAGCAGTAGTAATATGTAATAATAATAATAATAAAGGTGGTTAAGCGACCATTTAGGCCATTATAGATGTTAATTTAATACTGTTAATAAAAAAAAAAAACACAATAATAGCCTGAAACACTTCATATCGTTATTAATATAACTAAAAGCCTACAACATCATACCCTGTAATTTCTGATAACGTTACTCACTCGTCGTGCCTGCGGTGCAGGTAAAATAAGCTCCTCCAGCTCTGCGTAGCGCCGTACAACACAGTGAAGACCCCAACAAAAGTGGCGAACTGACAGGCGGCAGGCGGCCCCCACTGCTGCACCACCAGGTGCGTGACTTCTTCTGCCTCCCCGCCGCCCACAGTCAGGTTCTCCGTCCGCCAGAACCCGCGGCTGAAGAGCGCACAACGCCCCTTAAACGCAGAGCCGTTGAGTGCCAGTGGCACAACCACCAGCAGGCCCGCGATCACGGACAGGGTGTGGGCGGCGCAGTGCGCGAGCAACAGCCGCCGAACCAGCTCCATGTCTTCGGCCAGATTAGAACTGGACTCCGTGTATGACCCGGGACAGACCGCTCAGCCCGGCCTCGCCTCTTTATTTACTATCGATAATGTTCTAAATTAGAGCTCGCGCTGCACGCACTCTATCAGTCAGACGCAGCTGCTCTCCGCACAAGCAACTCCACCCCTCCGACATACGTCACACATTCCGACGTGACGTTCTCAAATCTGATTGGCCCGCTTTGCCACACTCGTTCTTTCAAATAATCAATGCGGTGTGGAAAATTCCACGGACCAGTCCATGAAAATAACATTTGAACACTGAAAATAGGATTTACGGGCATAAAAATATAAAATACATACATAAAAATATATAATATTAATTATATTATTATTATTATTATTATTTGGTAATAAACCATTTGGACCTATTAATGTTTTAATTCATTTTGAACCCATTAATCCATTTATTTCCAAATGTTCTCGGAGCAACTGTGACTTAAAATTGTGACTTAAACACATAAGACTTAATTTTCCATATTCAATTTTTTCTTGTTCACCTACTGATTTTTAATAAAAACAACAGAATATTTAAAAATTATTGTGAATAAAATACTAAAATTACATGTAATCAAAAAAAATCAAATGAGTACTGTTAGATGCTCTTCCAAACTACAACAACAGAAAAACTGCAGCACTTTTGCCCAGTCAGAACATGTTCTGTGGCGTTTTTCCTTATGATACCAATTGTGGCTGGACATGAATGGGTTAACAGAGGGGTGGGTCTGCCTCGCCTCTCTCAAAATAAGTGGGCCAGTAGATCAACGGTTATGTAAGCAGAGTAGCAAAGACCCCCCAGCTTAAAACTGGGTCATGTGTCACTCGTGTGTTTCCAGCGGCTTAAATGCGCCCATATTAGGATTATGTGAAACCCCTGTGCTTAGAAATGAAGATTTATCTGTGACTGGTCGTGTAGACTCTCTTCACCACCTCTGCACATTCCAGAGCATCACTGCAGAGCCCTCTCTGTGGAGGAGAATCTGTGCCAAATCGAAAAGCATCACTACAGTGGAAAAAAGTGAAATGCAATACTTGACACTATTTTTCGATAGTGTCATCCAGAATACGTGCCAAAATGAAAAACAAAAGCTCTACTACATTGTTTTCACGTCTCTTGACCTCTGAAAACAATACATAAAATAAGAAATGCTAAATTCGAGTCAGAATTGAATACAATCTGCCTTGAAATGTAATGACAGTACAGCTGCTGCTTTCAGTCATGCAGTGCTTCAGAACGTTTTCTGCATGTTACTGTTTAAATGCAATCTGTAGTCACTGCCTATATGGAAAAAATACATCTCCAATGTATTTATCAATACATTTTTGCAGTGTATGAAAATGGCCAAATAATGTACTTGTTACATCAAAATTCAATAAAATGCTTTTATTTCTATTTGTTATTATATTTTTAATTTTATGCAGTTTTAATAAAGGTTACAGAAATAACTAAATGGTGACTTCTGTGTTTTGCACTGTACTTTGCAGTAACTGTGTATGTGTGCAGTAAAACACTCACAAAAAATGTATTTCAATAAACAAGATATCAAATCATAACTGAGTATCAATACCCACAACACTTTCTTTTGCCATGTTGAAGGTTAATTTGCTAATAATTAAAATTAAGATATTGGAATCCAAACCATTTAAAAAGCTATTTCAAACAGTAAATTGCATTAGACAATATTTCCATTTAATAAATACATTTACATATATTTATTGTTTCTATGGTGCATTTCTCTGTGTAATATTTTCCCATACACTTTAAAATTAACGCATGTTAAAATATATTTGACTAATATGGCAATATATTCTGAAATACATTTTAGTGTTTGGAATGTACTTCAGCATGGACTGTGATGCATTTGAAATGTAAAAATTCATGTCCATATATTGCCTTAAATATGGGTGCTGAAAAAAAATAATCAGAATGGTTAGGATCAAAACCTGATGGTTTTACGGTCTTTCTAATGATAATGGGCTTAAATCCGTTTTTTGTGATAAAATGTAAAAAAAAAGGAAAAATCAATATCAACATATGGGTGTAAAAACATGTTTATTTTGAACAAATCTAAATGATGCAATGTTAAGAAATTGAACACATTTATGTCAGTCTAAAAAACACCAGCCCAAGTGAAGACATAGATACAGATAGAGATATATAGTATCCATATCAGTCTGCACATCAGCCCCATTGAACACATAGTCTACTCATGGCAGTCTATACAACACATGAGTTTTACTGTGTGTGTGTTGAATATGTATTTCTTGCACTTAATGCATGTATACTGTATCTTTCTGTCCATCTTTGGTCCACACACCTCTCAGTGCTTCGTTTTGTTGCTTCTGGCCACAACTTTTAATGATGAAAATACTTAGATCATGAATTTTTCTCACATCTCTCTCTCTCTCTCTCTCTCTCTCTCTCTCTCACACGCACACACACACACATTATAGTTGGTCAAGGTAAGAAAGTCATTTAACAGATGAAGCATCTCACACTTACTTCAGCTTCTGCAGATGGTTGTTCTGTGGGTCAGGCTGCAGGGACTCCAGCCTACTCCTCCTGAATCCTCCTCCTGCAGGATGCCTGGGCTTCTTGGTGTGTGTTGTCTTCTCTGGATTTGAGGCCTCACCAGTAGGCCATGTAGGAGGAGGACAGAGTGACGGGGGACAGCACCTCTACAGTTTTATCACCGCAGGACCAGTGGACCCAAACAGCCACATGTGTAATATAAATGTGTAGGGGGTGAACAGTGTGAAGTCAATGAAAATGTGTTACTTTATATGCTCTTCAGAGAAAATGAGCAAAGGCCAAGGAGTCTGAGGTTGAAATAATAATAAATCACATCATTTTTCTTTTGGTAAACATTGAAAATCGGTCCCACAGACGCAAATACCACACAAGGGTTAAAGGGGAACTTCACCAATTTTTTTGAATGACTCTGCCATTGCAAAGTAAACAAAGCCATTCAGAGTGGTTTGATAAGAAATGGTTTGTTGTAGAGAAAGTTACAGATTCAGATTTCTTTACAGTGGTGGTGATGGGAACCAGGGGTCACAATGTCTACAACACTAATATAGCCACTTTATTTACTATCCAAAACCTCCAATGAACCTACATGTGTCGTCTGAGTTTTTATATGCGATGCTGATGATGGTGAAATAATGGAAAATCTGAAAAAAAAAAAGTTTTCCTTGAGGACTATTTTGACTTATAACGCCCTGCATGTACCTCCACTAAGAATGGATTCAAATAAGTGGATTAACAAAACACTTTAGGCCAAACTTTTCCCACACATCTTTTGTATCAGGCAACGTATTCGTAAGCGCATAACCATTTTGTGTAATAACTTTCTGGGAAGGAGCTTTTAGAGGTGGACGTCTGGGTTCTATCACCACCACTGTGAACAATTCTGACTCTGTAAGTTTCTCTAGAACAGAACATTTCACACCAAACCACTCTGAATGACTTTATTTACATCTGAACCACTTAATTATTTAATAACAATTAATTTTGTGGAACTTTTGAAAAATTGGTGGAGTTCCCCATTAATTTTATGTTGATACCTGCTCCAAGAGAAATTCTAATTCCTCTAGCAGTGTTGCCAACTCATTTTGAGGAGAAGTTTCTACAGACAGGTCGATTCGTTGCTAAACGTTGCTAAATGACGATGTCGTTGTGTGATGACGCCATTACCTAATGACGTAAACTAAGTCATAACATGGAATAAACAATGTCTACTTAAATTGACTGGCCATCTAGATGAAAAATGTGATTTGAAATCTTTTTTTTTTTTAACACAACACATTGAATTACTGAACAATTACACATTATCGAACAATTATATTTTACGCAATGCACTTCTGTAGTCAGACCGCGTGTTGTGACTGTGTGACAGAAAATAATGTTTGCATCATTCACTTTTCAAAAGCTACTAAAAGTTTCAGATAAATGTTAAAAATACCTAAATTTGTTGCTTTGAAGAACAAAGTTGCCATGGTAGTCGGAAAAGTTGCTAAATCTAACAATAACTGCTAAGTTAGCATCACTATCTAGGTGCTGGTTGCAATGACGAGTGTTGTGGCGCTAGGGGGCGGTATATGTCCGAGTGGAGCTCAGAACTACACCGAAAGCGAAGAGCAAAGATCTTTCTAGTACAGTTTTAATATCCCAAACACACAGCAGACGGAGCTCAGCTATTCATCTACCGCCTTTAAGCACACAAATGGACAGAAAGGTAACCGTGATAAACAGTACTGATCCGTCTTCTGGGCGGTGAGTTGTTATTTCTTGTTCTGGATGAGGGGAGTGAGGGAGGTGCCCTCGTGGGTCTCTGACATCTCTGACTACATGGATCTCATTCAAAACAAATGAAGTCACCTGCTGCCTTTCTTATATTAAAGGTTTTTAAGGACGTTTTACTTTGCTCTGCGGAAATAGAAACCAAGAAAACTGTTTTGTGCAGCTTTAAAAACATGCCCTAATGTCTAAGAATTAATGTAAGTTAGATTCTGAATAATTAATGTTAGTCTGCGATATTTCCGTGCACGAGAACTTAGACGTTTAGCTAAATTAGTTAGCTAAAAAGTAAAAAATAAAGTTGGCCATTATTATCTTGCTCTTTGCTTTTCCACTGGCTGTATTAAGATTTATTTCTGTGACAGTGTTTTACTGTCAGTGTGTTAGGAAATGAGGACATTACACAAGGAAATTGGACATTGCAAAAGGGACCAGTCAGTCTGTGAAGGTTTTTAATCATCCAGGTCATTGAATATCCTGTAGTATTAAATCAGTGAGACTGAGTGGAGTTGGCAATGTGACAATATTTATCGTTATTGTAATATTTTACATCACTGTGTCACATTATGCTTTCCTGAACATCGTGGTTATCATCAGAACTTAAAAATCACTTCTCAGCTGCATGTTTGATTAAAAATAGAGCCTAATTAGTCCCATTTAATTGAATTTACTACAACACAGTGTGTGCAATGTTGAATACAAATAATTGGATTCATATTTTTAATAGTTTGTTTAAAATGTGGGATTACTTTGTTTGTTCTAACTTACTGGATGTCAGAAAAGATAAATATCGTGATACATAGTGTATCGTAAGAATATGTCCTGAAGTATCGTGATAATAGATTTTGCCGTATCACCCACCTCAAGACTGGAGAGATGTTGTATATAAGAAAATACACACTTTCCAAAATGTTGTATAATACTACTGTAATGATCTATAGAAAAGTATTATAGTAAAAAAAAATTCTTATAGTAGAAAATTATTATATAGGGGAGGGCCAGCGTTTTCACAGGGCAGGACTAACATGCACGCGCAGCCGGACCAGCTATGAAAACAAAAAACAGACAAGCTCGGATTATCGCGCACACAGAGACGGCGTGACTTCATTCTCTGCTCAGGACGCCATTACACCACTACGTCTTTACATACAAAATAGTTGTTTGCTGCTATATTAATGTTAAAAAAGTCGTATATATATCACATTTAAATGGCTTTAATCAGCCACAGCCACGCCATACAATAAGCAAGGCTTTTGGCTAACAGCTCGCTCTATACTAAGTTCACGTCTGCACTCTCTCGCTTCCAGCTTTCAACTAACACCCAGTTTTTGTCTGCTCTTACACACATTACCCCCCTAAAGGTGAACTAGCTCTGCCTTCACTTTAAGAGTCTTTGTCAGAATAAACCCAGAGACTACCCAGACTAACTGCAGGCGAACCAATACTCCAAAATCAACATGCAGAACATTTTGAACACGCTATCGTACTGTTTATATAATCTATAATATTCATGTAGTAACCTGTAGCAATAGTCCAAATTACTATAAGATTGTTGTAGAAACCCTTCATCTCATTCCTGTAGTATGACTATGCGTCTTTTTCCATGAGGGACTACTGCTGTCTAAGCAAATTCACACAGTCCTGCATTGCTGACAGGTTTTTTCTGTCAGGCGTCAGATGGTGCTGCTGCAGAGGAAAGCCCTGAGGAGGAAAGCTGCTCGGCGTCATGCTCCGGGGCCTCTGGAGGCTCCAGCTCACGAGTGGAAGCCCAGCTGGCTGAGGCTATGCGGTTAAAAATGGAAGGGAACTCGTTTTACCGGGAGAAGAAAGTGCGTTCCGCCATTGGACGTTATCACCGTGCCTTGATTGTTCTTCGTGGCCTCGACTCAGAAGTGATGTCAACGCTTAAAGGGTTCGGGTCTCAGTTGCCCACCCTCACCCCGGAACAAGAAGAGCTTCTCAGGAGCACTCAAGTAGACTGCTATAACAACCTAGCAGGTATTTGATATCTCACACCTCATCCGTCATCAGCCAAAGGAAGGACAGCAACAAGTGGGTGTTAGAAATTACCAAACTTTAGGCATTCCGTAAGTGTGGCCCACAGCTCAGAACAATTGTGAGCTTATTGTCCACAATAAATATACACGTTACTACACAGCTGAATGTATTACTATTGGTGATGTACTGTTTTGACATACCATTTAGTATGTTGATATGCAGGTTTTGGATGGAACCAATGTCTCCCTATTGTTCTTATGCAGTGAACTATATAACTGCAGAGAGGACTAACACCTCTGGTTTTCTCTATTGCACAGCATGTTTACTGCAGCGTGAAGTTGTAGACTACACCCACGTGCAGGAGTACAGTCTGAAGGTTCTTCACTGGAGGCCTGGAGACGTTAAAGCCCTGTACAGAGCTGGAGTGGCCACACTAGAGCTGGGCGATGCTCAGACTGCCCGTCAGTACCTCCTCCAGGCCAGCAGAGGGCAACCTAATGGTAAGAAAAAAAAAACAGAATTGGGCTTTTCAGCCCTGGAACATTTTTCAACTTTTTTACAATAGAGTGTTGTTATTTTGTGTCATCAGTATCATCTAGAATTTCATGATTGTGACAGACCTAACTGCAATTACAAAGTGGTATTCACATATGTCTGCTATTGATGTCAGTACTAATAACCTACCGAGAACATTTTAAGATAAATAATTTATCATGGAAGTTGCTAACAGACTATGTGAAATTTAATTGTGAAGAGATGCCAACTTTGGTACCTGCGTTGCTGATGTGTCAGTATAAAAAAGAGTGAAGATGAAGAGAACACAAATGAAAAATATAAGTTCTTTGTTCTTTTAATAGGCCACTTAAACAGGATATTCACTGCAAAATGTGCATGTTTCTCAGATGCCAATGTGAAGAAACAGCTCCAGCGAGTGGAGGAGAGGCTCAAGAAAGACTATCAGAAGGAGAAAGCTCTGTACAAGGGCATGTTTAGTAAGCAGAAACAAGGAGAAGGGGAAGAAGCTACAGGGGAGTCCCTAAAACAGCTGTAAGGAGCTCTGAAGATCAGTTCCAGCTGACAGGAAAAGGAAGGTGAAGGATGAAATTAAAGAGATAAATGCATACCAAAATAATTCTGGAATATATGTTGCCCTGTAGCATAAAAACAAGCCCCAGTAAGGATTTAAATGAGACTACATATCTTGTGCCAAGAATGAATGTGAAAGACGTTCATGACTGGGCAGTTTGATGGGCAGTGAATGTTAATGCACTGGCTAAAGGCCTTTTTTTTTTAAGTCCATTGACTGTGGCTGTATCTGATATTAGTCAGATTCTGTTCAGGATTCAGATTTTTCTGTGTTTGTTTCTGTCTCTAGATGAGAGGTAGTCCATGTCATTTCTCTATCAGCACCGTTCACTTGTATAATAAACTTTTTGAAATGGTCCCTTTAAATCGTTTAGAATTCTGTTCCTATTTACCACAGTGAGATTAACCTGTTGAATCTGTGGCTAGATTAAAAAGAAGATTAGGACCAATTGTTAGAATAAATCCCTGCAAGCAGATGTTTGTGTGGGGATTTAGGCCTCGCAGATTGCTAGATTTAATTCCATTGTTGTGCCACAAAGCATTTCACTGAACTCTACATTAGCCTCATGTAACAGGGACATGCAAACCAATCAGGAACACATTTCATTTGAAGTCTTTATTAACATTGAGCCATTGCTTAACACTGAAATGAGTTAATAATTTCAAATTATGACATTATCTTATTTTATCATTTTTAAAGTCCTGAGCACACAGTTCATATTATGCAACATATTGTACTTGTTCCGATTTTGGTCTACATTGTTTTAACAAATGTGCGGTATATGCACAAAGTACTTAAATACTTCAGTACGCACACTATACTGAGTATAGTGCAAAGTATGTATAGAATGAAAAGCACACTGGCACACACTGAATATAATAGTGCACAGACACACAGCACAGAGTAGCATGCAGAGGCACATGAACGTGCAGAAAGAACAGCTGTTTCGAATACTTCTGGATTGTTACAAGTTGTGTAACATGGCAGTATTGGCACCCCCCATTGTTTCTCCTAACAGATTAATCCTGATTCTGGCCTATGTAATGGGGCTGCAGGTTAATCGTATATCAAATGGAATCATGATTTTGGTCCTCGCAATTAATTACTTGCAGAAGACTCTAACTAGTGCATTTCTTTTAGTCGCATTTTAGTCTGAAAAGAAAAAAACATCTAGATAGCACAGCACATGACATGAGTGTTTGAATGAAATTACAATATCTATTATGTGCCCTGTAAGTGCACTGACCAATCTCAAGAGTTCCTATTGAGGTTTCTGTTAGAAATGTACTCAAAGCAATTAGGAATCGCGATCACAGTATCACTCAATTTACAACTGTTTGTCATAATTGCACAGTCCAGCTGTATCACATCAGTGGAGATTGTCCATTAGAATAATTCACCTCGTCTGAAACAAGGTTTAATCTTAAGTCCTAGAAACCAGTCTGCAAACTGTGAAATGTTTGCCTTCTCAGCTTACTAGTCTTTCTTTTTCGACTTGTGGTTCTTATTGAAACTGAGGGACCTCATTGAGCCGAAAACCTTCCTTCCAAGGTCACGGAATGATCTGGAACGAGTGAGAGGGGCTGACGGAGGTGGAGATGGAGATAAGGAAGGGGAGGAAAGAGGAGAGAGTGAGTGGCTGCTTCCCTCGAGGCTCTGTGAGCGAGAGAGATGAAAGAGACTGGCAGTGGAAGAGTGATGTTTCTCCTCTTTCCTCACTAGATTCCGCCCACATTCTGTACCTCTCCCTTCCCGGCTGATCTCCAAGGAGGAACACCACTGACTGCTGTGGAGACGAGCTTCACGTTTTTGGGAACGAGGCTCCAAGAATCCCTGAGATTCACTCCGGAATAGCGCTCTCCTGGATAAGCGAAGGCTGGAGCTACGGCCGTCCCAGCTTGTCCCTTTCTTTCTAGACGAGTGGCTGTCTTTTTGTTCCTGAACCCTGCTTGATGAAGTCTCTTTTAAAGATGTGTGCCTCCAACCAAAAGTTCCAGCCCTCTCGTCTCTGTACCTCCCCATCTCCTCCTCTTTCCCCCACAGCCGGGACTCGAAGCCTTTCCAAAACTTTGCAGCCTTTTTCGGTGTCCGGGTACTTGCTTCTTCCTCCCAGCAGCTGCCATAGTCTCTTCCTGAGTAACTACTGACTGTTGACGCCCGCACCAGCTCTCTAGAGGCATGCTTGCCCTGATAGAGCCTCTCCCCGTCCCCACTCCTCCTCCAGCCTCTCTCCTGAGACCTCCACCCGGCTGCAGCTCCAGCATCCTGCCTGAGGGAACCGCCACGAGGCCTAATGGGGCCTTCCAGCGGGGAGCCACAGGGGTGAAAGTGCGGGAGAGAGCACTGGGATGGGGAGTCTCGCCGGAAGACAGACAGTTGGGCAGGAGTGAACGGCGAATTCGTGAGCAGACGAGGAGGGGAGTGTACTCTTGAGTGGGAAGCAGAGCCAGGAGAAGAGGCCGGGTCTGAATGACTGTGAGGTATCGGCAAGATGGGGGAAGTGCGAGAAGGAGTTGGTCCAGAGTGATCAGAGCGAGGGCTGTTGGACTGCGTCGTAAGCGCCGAATGGGAATCTGAATGGGTAACCTGTAGCCGGTGCTGCTGCGAAATGTAGTCTGGTTCCATGCTGCCACTTCCTGCCCAGGGGTTTGAGGCCGCTGAGCTTGAATACAAGCCAGGTCGATCTGCTCCGTATGCTGACTGAAGAGAAGTACGAGAAGAGCGAGGTGTAGGAGCGTTGCATGGAGATGCTGACCCTTCACCTCTTTCTCTCTCACTCCGAAAGCATTCTGCATCCAACTCCACACCTTCCTCCATTAGCCCCACCACCACTGACTTGGGCAGCCCAGACACACGGGAGATCTCACAGACCACCGCCGAGTCTTCACTGAGTTTAGCAGGACTTTCTGAGGCTTTGGAAGGTGGACACCCTTCTGCCTCTTCTCGGGGAGCCCCACTCCAGTCTAGCGATTTAGAGAAGTTGAGTGGACCAAAGGACTTTCCGGTAATCTCCAGTGATCCACGGTGGTTGACTGTGGAGGGGCAGGTGGATATGCGGGGTCTGCTCCTCCAGTTGGGGGTGCTGGTGACTGTGCTTGATGATGAAGATGGGGAAGCAGTTGGAGTGATTAAGTTGGCGCTAAGATGCCCACAGGAACCTGACACCTGCTCTTTTACGTTTTTAGCATCAAAACTCAGTGCTTTATTCAAGTTTGGATTCAGGTTCAAATTCAAGTTGAGGTGAAAACTAATGTTGAAATCCTCCCCAGTAACAGATGGCAAGTTTCCGAGATTAATCGAATTCCGGCTAGCTTTCTTCCCAATGCTACTAAGACTAACTCTAGCAGAATTGCCCAGTAAAGACTTGCATGGTGTTGCACTGCCCCCAGTCAAGCTGGAGGAGGAAGCACTCCTTGGGTGGACTCCTTCATGGCTTAAGCCTGCAGTCTTTTGAGAAGCCTCGGCAGCCACCCTGCTGTGGTACTGATGGACTAATCTGGTTATGTACTGTTCCAGCTGTGTGATAGATGGAGAAGGTGGAGGTTGGGTCCTCACAGGGGGCTGTTCAGGCTCTGGCTCCCCAGGCTGATCACCCTCTGGGCTGGGGGAGCGGCAGGTGGGGGAAGAGTCCTGGCAGGAGGTGAACAGGGGACTCTGCAAGGCCACTGCGTGGAGTGGGCTAGGATAAGGGTACACCTCTTTTGTCCTTCGTGACACCAAGTCGGAGCAGAATTTGGGGTCTAGCTGTAGCTGCGAGTTGGTGGTAGAAGTGGAAAAGACGGATCCCTTTTGTGTTCCTCCCAGGCTAGAACAGAGGCCAGTCAGAAACATGAGCCCATCAATCTCTAGCTCACCTGTTCATGAAGAATTGAAAAGAACATATTAGAGCTATCACCATGAAACTGCAACGATAATCGAATGATATTTATCAGCTGTCAGAGCGAGGGTAAGAACTGAGGGCTGGAGTCCAGCGCTGTCTGATAATTTCCCTGCTCTGACCACCAAATAAATCTACAATTACAGAGTAATTACTGAGTAGTTGAATCAGGTGTGTTTGTCACCAAATCACCAAATTGTGCATAAATTTGTCCCTCTGGGACCAGAGTTACCCACCCATGGGTTCTTGTAAAAACATCTGAAAGCACTCAGCACAACTGCAATACGTAGTACATAGTGATGCACCGAAATTTCAGCCACTGAAAATGGTCAAAAACGGCACATTTGTTTTTCGTCCGAAAGAGAAAAAAAGTAAAAAAAATTCTGACAGAAAAAAAGATTCAAAAGGTCTAAAACAAATAAGTCAAAATATCAGACTTAAAAAATAATTTTAATGATAACAAAATAGTGAGTAAAAAAATTTGCCCTTGTGGATCTATTTCCCAGTTTTTAAGGGTGAATTCAGACAAGAGATTGTAATCTCTGTTTAAGCAAAGTATCACTGATGCCATCCATAGCTTCAGTTTTTTAATTGATCAAAAATTTCGCTAACAACAGTTCTAAACTGCAAAGTATAATAAAAAAATAATGGAATTCATTGCCTTGAATGACCAACGATACTCTGTTTTGTGGACACTGCATTTTGTGGCACATGCTGTAGCCTACATACTGTAATATCTTCCAAGTTTATTTTATGTAAACTGTTTTTTATTTATTGTCAGCTTTTTTCTGTTTTGTTCTTTCAACTAATTGTGTCCTGAATTTCAAGTAATTTCATTTCGGGGCATCACCACCTTTTAATAACTACATAAGCAAGTGTTAAGTGATAAATTTCCTCCTACCAGTAGAGGCTGGCCTCCTTTCCCCTTTTTGTCCTGGAACTGTCCCTTCTGAGCTCTGTACACTCTGCTGTTCAACCTCCCTCCACTGGGTGGTACTGTGGTCTAGCGAGTGAGGCCTGCAGGTTCCCCCCATTTTAACAGGCCCTCCAGGGGCTGCCTCACTGGCCACTGAGTAACAGGAGTCTGACAGCGAGCTCCCACTGACCGAGTAAAAACCTGACCAAGTAAAAAAAGAAAGAAGAAAAAGTGGGGGAGGGTTTGTAGGAACATGGACTGAAGAAAAGCGTGGTTTCATGGGTGACACATGATATAAATGAAGGTATAAGCTAAAGGGCCAGGGTTAATGATTGCCAAAGACTGCTCTGAGCAGTAAGTATCAGATTGAAGTGGAAAGTAAATAGTACATAACCTTTATTTCACATAACCTCAACCAGACAAAATGTGCACCTGTTGACAATTTCATTATTATTTCATGAGAGTTTCAATTGCTTTCAGGTGACAAACATGACTATCCAAACTTTAATCACTTAATTACTGGAAAAGGTATTATTATAGTATCTACGACACACAATTTAAACTGCTTACAT